TTAAGCTATGAGGAAAGGAAAAGTCCGCTAGCCGCTAGGCTAATTTATGTAGTGTTAATATCATATAGGCTAAAGCTCTTAAAGGTTCAGTGTGTAAGTTCTAGTGACATCCAGTGGTGAGGGTTGCGAATTTTTTGAATATTATTGTTACCTTTTCATTAATAAACAACAGCCACATGAAGAAATTAAGTACTACATGATGTCTCATACTCCTGTAATACAATCTTGGGATGGTTCGCTCATCTGTACTAACATAAGAACATGACAATGAAGAAATTGTCAAAAACTATCACATATTACATATCACACAGAGAAGCATGCAAATATTACCAAAATGTCTTTTTACTTTTTTAAAATACAACAGACATACAAAGTAGTACAGACAGCCATAATTTCAGCTTGTGGTAAAATGGTGCAAAATTTTATTAAAGGGCATTTAGCATGTGAAAGTACAAATTACATATTTATGTGCACAGTGGGAAGCAATATCCAAGAAAGTTTTTTTTAATGCAATTTCAGAAATTATTTATTATTGGTCACTTGATAGGCACACCCGTCATGCTATATATCACCATTAGCAGTAAAAAGAAATACATGTTTTCCACCAGGGCAGTAAAATGTGAAGTTTAGCTGCTGATCTGAGCTTCCCTGCTGTTACTGTTTCATTAGCAATAATATTCATCAGCTGTTTGTTTCAGGAAGGTAATGGCACATTTCTGTCCACGTAACAAATCCATAACAGAGGCTGGAGAAGAACTACATGAAGTTACAATCCAACTACATATTTTTTCTACCACCGCAGTAAAAGTTTAGCTGGCTGATGCTGGAAGCTGCCCTTTTATTGCCAATTAGCGATCAGCTGATTCTCACAAAGGTAACAGACAAAGCCAAAACAGCGCGCTGGAGAGAGAGTAACTACATGAAATTAATCCAACTAACATAACACCACAAGCCAAAGCACAGCGCTGGAGAATAAACCAGTCCAACTAACAATACAATTTTTTCTACCGGTCAGTAAAAGTTTAGCTGGCTGATGCTTCCATGCTCTAAACAAAGGTTGCAGTTTTATTGCCAATTAACCTTAGTGATCAGCTGATTGTCTTGCTAACGTAACCGTAACCAGCAAAGCCAAACCACAGGCTGGAGAATAAGTAGGCGACATAAAATTTATCCATATTTCACACCATTGACAGGGGAAACATGTCACGGCTCTCTGTGATTATGGCCAGCTTCTAGCTAAAGTTCTCAAACCACAGTTTTCATTTGAATCGCTAAAGCCTGACAAGCAAAGTTAATTAAGTTACCTGTCCAGCAGAAAACAGACAACTTCAGCACCGCTTTGAAAACATCTGTCCCACGGTAGAAACATGATGACAAAATACAGCGTTATATCATTTTATATCCCCCTTAAATGCCTTGTTGTTTATGTCTAAATACAGGAAGAATGGGAGAACAGCACACATCTCATCGTTACTCTGTGATTATAGAGCATGGTAAAACAGTGGGGACTTTTAATGCAGCCCACACCCCTAATATTACTGTGTAACTACAGGTTAACAAATGGAGAACATTCAAGATTTTTTACAACTGTCTGCATAGTTTATTCATCTTATGTAATATGTAAAGAAATAAAATAAATAGGTCTACTAGGCTCCTATCTACTTTGACATTTAAGATTAGCTCTGTTTGATCCACCTTCATAAACATATGTGACATTACTGTAAAACTTGAGAAAGGTAAGTTGTTTTCTGCTACAGCCTGCCCATATCCTTCCCATATCTGAACTTATTATTCTAAATCATGCAATGAAGTAGAAGAAATGCATAATAAATCCTGGGACAAAATCTGTCCACAAATACTGTACAGTATGTAGCCTAATGAACAATCCTTGTGTTATAGCTGACTTGGGCAGTGAAATGTTTCATTTTTTAATTCATGTGGTCCTAGTTGTGCACAACTCAAATCAAAATTTAAGGAGAAATGTGTTTTATACCACCTCAAGAAGACTTCATATCAGAAAGATAGGATGGTATTTCAAAGCACAACTGCAGTACTTCAATAATTTCCACATTTTAGTGTTATTTTACTTCTAATACACACATGTAACATGTTTTATACTTCTGTGAATATAAGCCAATTAATCTTATTTTCATACTTTATGTACCTGTGTTAACACCTTATTTTGAAAACCATTGTGCAAATAAATAGGGTAGAAATGCAAAGGAAGAATATAACAAGACAAAAATATTAAAACACACACTTAAATAAATAAATAAAAATTAAAAAAATAAGTAATTAATAAATAAAGGTGAAGATTATAACGGACAATAAATAAATATGGTAATTATTACAAAGGTGAATAAATAAAGACGCTAATTAAAAGAGATATATACATTTATGTCTCATTGTATAATTTAATTACTGCATTACATTTATTTATCTACCTCATTTTTTGTGCATTTAATCGGATGCTTATTTATTTTTTGAGCAGTTATTTCTGTATTTATTTCCCTTTATGTCAGAAGTGGTCCTCCATAGTTCCCCTTCGAGGGAACTCGAACTGCGTCGGTGACGACACTATGGGAACGCCTCTGGGCGTGGCAGGGCTGAAAACATGAATGAAACTACTCCAATCCTATTGGCGTTGCTAGAACGGTAGCGTGTGACGGCGTAACTGGAGGTGTATATAAGCACGCCGGCACACCGGACACATTAGCTTTTTCTATTCAGCAGGCACTCTGGAGCATGTTTGAGACTACGCAGAAGAAAGCTACTACAATACGGAAAGATTACCTGGACATAGAAGCAGAGGAGATGGCTGGTGAGCAATTCAGGCAGTGTGTCTTTCCATGCCCACGCTACATCACGGCTGGGGACACTCATGCCTTGTGCGTTTCCTTTCTGGGGATGCCGCATGCCCAGGCAGCTCTCGAGGGGGCTGCTTGCGGCCATTGCGAGGCCCTGCCCCTGAGGGTGCTGAGGTCCCGTGCGGCTCTTTTCTCCGGAGACGGCTGGATGCGCTCTCCCCGTGGCTCGGGCCCGGCGGTCGCTGAGGCGGCGCGGCGGCTTCGGTCATGGGGCTCCCAGCGCGACATTTCCGACGGCATCGGGACTGCTGAGGCCTTTTCCCGTTCCTCGTCTGCTGGCTTCGACTCCCCTCTTCCCCGTTTGGGAACCCGTATTTCGGCTTCTCCCGCTCGGGGTGTGAGCCCGGAGAGGCTGCAGCTGTCCGGCTCTGAGGAGCTGGATGTGCTCAGAATTTTGGAGGAGGAAGACTTCCGGGTACCGGAGCAACGTCATCAGTCAGCGCCGAGCTATGACGAGCTCTTGGAGGTGGTGACACGAGCGGTGTGTAAGCTCCAGCTTGATTGGCCGCAGCCCATGCCAGACACGCAGGTCTCTGCCCTTTTTCCCGGATTTGCATGACGAGTTGTGCAAATCCTGGGGTAAGCCCTTCACAGCACGTTTGACTACTCCCCTGCTCTGGGTTTATAGTGACGTCGCAGGGGTCAAGGGCTCTGGTTATGGGACGATGCCCCGGGTTGAGGATGCTTTGGCCAGCTATCTCTCGCCCGGCCTTGCGTCGTCCCTTAACAAGCCATGTTGTTGACATCTGCTCTGGTGGGCAAGGCGTACACAGCGGCGGGGCAGGCTGTTGCGAGCCTGCACACAATGGCGGTTTTGCAGGCATACCAGGCCGACCTGCTGAAAGACATGGACTCGGGAGGAGGCCCCTCTGAGGAGGACATTGCCGAGCTCCGCAGAGCCACGTACCTGTCTCTCCAAGTTACCAAAGAGACGGCCCGTGCCATCAGCTGTTCCATGTCGGCGCTGGTGGCCACGGAGCGGCACCTGTGGCTCAACCTGTCGGGCATCCAGGAGAGGGAGAAGACCTTCCTGCTCGATGCACAGGTGGCGACCTCTGGCCTGTTTGGCGAGGCGGTGGACGCCATAGTCAGCAGGTTCCAGCATGCCAGGACGCAAGGGAAGGCGGCTGCAGAGAGACGGTCCCAGCCGCCTGGGCAGAGTGTCACTGCTCGAGGTCCCCCTCAGCGCACCCGGGACTTGAGGCGGCACTCTCGCCCACAGCCCCCCGAGACAACGGATCTGAGGACTGCAGTCCGGAGGTGCTCGGGCTCACATGCCACGGGTTTTCGGCAGGACCTCCACCCCTCTGAGGGATGGGCCTCTGGGGAGGCTTCCACTGGTCGTGCACTTCCTCCGTGGAGCCCGGAGGATGAGACCTGTGAGTCGTTCCAGGGTTCCCACTTGGGATCTGGCGGTGGTTCTGGAAGCGCTGGCTGAGGCCCCCTTCGAACCCCTGGAGTCGGCTGAGGCCAAGCACCTGACCCTTAAGATGGCCTTTCTCCTCGCTATCACCTCTCTGAGGAGGCTGGGGGATCTCCAGGCACTTTCGGTTTCTCCTTAATGCCTGGAGTTTGCCCCGGGGAGGGTCAGAGCCATCCTGCACCCCTGTCCGGGCTATGTCCCTAAGGTTCCGTCCAGACTGGCAGGGTCCACGGTGCTGCAGGCGTTTCATCCCCCACCTCATGTGACGGCGGAGGACGGGAGAATTCATCTGCTCTGCTCTCCAGCTGAACTGATCGCCTTTATTAGTGTTTGTTTGGCTTCTGGTTCTCACTGACTGCAGCTTTGACTTCAGTTTGTCCTCCTTTATTTACACTTCAAAGAAGGGAAAACACGATTATACGGCAGGATTTTAGTTTGATTATTGTCAGTCAGCTGGTTTTAACCAGTCAAAGAAACATTGAATAGAATTTGAGGAAGATTTTTAGAAATATGGAGCCAAGAAGTATTTTACAACTAAAAACTTTAATGTCTTCAGACAGGAGAAGGTTTTAACCGAGGCTTCGCTGTAAATGAGAAAAAAAATCCACAGAGCTGATACTCTTCCTGGAATGAGTCCCAGCTCAATAACCCCTCCCTCTTCCTCCTGCTCTCCAATCACAGCGAGCTCCACTCTGTCCATATATTTCCTTGTTCCCTCCCCTTCAGATCTCCAGTTTGAAGATGGGTGTAACCAACATGTGCTGACGTGCAGGAGCTGAAAGGCCCCGTTCACTGCAGAGACACATCCTGTTTAGATCAGAGCTCAATCTAGTTGCACTTCTGAGGAAGTGAAACTCAGACAGTCGTTGCCACTGAGAGGTAAAATGGCGCAGAAAGGAGTTCAGCTGGACCGAGAAAAATTCTGCTGTTCGATCTGTCTGGATCTACTGAAGGATCCGGTGGCTATTCCCTGTGGACACAGCTACTGCATGAACTGTATTAAAAGCTTCTGGGATGTAGAGGATGAGAAGAAAATCCACAGCTGCCCTCAGTGTAGGCAGACCTTCACACCGAGGCCTGTCCTGCTGAAAAACACCATGTTAGCAGATTTAGTGGAGGAACTGAAGAAGACTGGACTCGAAGCTGCTCCTGCTGATCACTGCTATGCTGGACCTGAAGATGTGGCCTGTGATGTCTGCACTGGGAGAAAACTGAAAGCCCTCAAGTCCTGTCTGGTCTGTCTGGTCTCTTACTGTGAGAAACACCTCCAGCCTCACTTTGAATCTCCTGCGTTTCAAAATCACACGCTGGTGGAGCCCTCCAAGAACCTCCAGGAGAACATCTGCTCTCGTCATGATGAGGTGATGAAGATGTTCTGCCGTACTGATCAGCAGAGTATCTGTTATCTCTGCTCTGTGGATGAACATAAAGGCCACGTCACAGTCTCAGCTGCAGCAGAAAGGACCGAGAGGCAGAGAGAGCTCAAGGTGAGTCGACAAAACATCCAGCAGAGAATCCTGGACAGAGAGAAAGATGTGAAGGTGCTTCAGCAGGAGGTGGAGGCTATCAATGGCTCTGCTGATAAAGCAGTGGAGGACAGTGAGAAGATCTTCACTGAGCTGATCCGTCTGATGGAGAAAAGAAGGTCTGATGTGAAGCGGCAGCTCAGATCCCAGCAGGACACTGAAGTGAGTCGAGTCAAAGAGCTTCAGGATAAGCTGGAGCAGGAGATCACTGAACTGAAGAGGAAAGACGCTGAGCTGAAGCAGCTCTCACACACAGAGGATGACAACCAGTTTCTACACAACTACCCCTCAGTGTCAGCACTCAGTGAATCTACAGACTCATCCAGAATCAAGATCCGTCCTCTGCGCTACTTTGAGGATGTGACAGCGGCTGTGTCAGAAGTCAGAGACAAACTACAGGACGTTCTGACAGAGAAATGGACAAACATCTTAAAGACAGTGACTGATGTGGATGTTTTACTGTCAGAACCAGAGCCCAAGACCAGAGCTGACTTCTTAAAATATTCACGTGAAATCAAACTGGATCCAAACACAGCACACACATGGCTGATATTATCTGAGGGGAACAGAAAAGTAACAGTAATGGAAGAACAGTATTATTCTCATCACCCAGACAGATTCACTGAATGCTGGCAGGTCCTGAGTAGAGAGAGTCTGACTGGACGTTGTTACTGGGAGGTGGAGTGGAGAAGGGGAGGAGTTTATGTAGCAGTCGCCTACAAGAACATCAGCAGAGCAGGGAGCTGGGATGAATGTGGATTTGGACGAAATGACAAATCTTGGATGTTAAATTATCAGGACCACAGATACAACTTTTGCTACAACAAAGTCCAAACTCCCGTCTCAGGTCCTCGGTCCTCCAGAGTAGGAGTGTACCTGGATCACAGAGCAGGTATTCTGTCCTTCTACAGCATCTCTGAAACCATGACTCTCCTCCACAGAGTCCAGACCACATTCACTCAGCCTCTCTGTGCTGGACTTGGGTTTTCTTGTTATGGAGCCACTGCTAAGTTCTGTCAAACAGTCAGAAGTCATTTCAGGGACAGTGGGTTAAATTCTGTGTTTTAATCCTTCAACTTATTTTGTCTTCATGTTTGTTGCTGAGAGCTGATTGTTGTGGCCTTGACCTGTCAATCAAACATTGTGGGCGGTACTTTGAGGTCTTGTCATTAGTTGCTGTGTAAATGTTTGAGTTTCTTTAGGCGGCGCTCCTTCCTGTGTCTGTTTAGCCATGGAGGCTATCACTGCTCAGGATGACTTTTGTTTACCTGAACTGACTTTTCTCTGCATGAAAATGGAAACTTGTCTGAGCTCTACATGATGAATAAACAAACATGAACCAAGTCTTTTCTTCTCGTCTTCATTCCAGGGTTTCATACAGAGCTGATGGAGAACATGTGAAACTAATCAGAGAGTAGAACTGAGGCAGTTTTCCTCCTGAAACACCACAAAGTACAGAGTTCATGTTTGTCAGTCAGTCTCTGTCCTTTCAGCTTTCCTCACTAAAACAGCTTTGTCACAGAGAAATGAGCAGAGTTTTCTGTCACTTGTTGCTTTTTACAACCAACATTTTGTTTGTTTGTCTGAAATGCATCTAAAACAGGCACCATGAGGGTTCCTGACAGCTGGGACTGATTTATTGCTCCATCACAGCTAAAGTTACTCCACCTTTTCCAGCACAGACCAGCAGCTGGAAATCCAGTATCAACCTGTTTTAAACACAGCCTCCTGTATCACTGCAGCTTCAGTTTCTAAGGTGAGGACAAAGCAAAGCACTCTGGGTCGTCGCTCCACATTTACATTCGGCACAGAGGGAGCTCGTTCCGTGAAAAAAGTCCATTTCAGTTTAAAGTGTGAGCAGGTGTGAGCTGGAAGAAGTGCTTTTCTGAGTGGAAGTGAAGCTGCTGCTAACTGAGGGGGAGACTGAGACTCTTGTGAGGAGAAAAAGCAGCAGGCAGGAGTCTCTGTGCTGATCTGACACTTTAATGTCCCAGTGGTCCCTGAACGCAGCAGTCTGATATCTGGCTGTTGATTTAGTCCCAAAGCAGAATGTGGTAATAAAATGTTGTCTGATAAATCAGCTGTGATGATGAAAACAAGCTAAACTTCCACTGCTGCTACCATTACTACACCTACTGCATTACTGCAGACACTTATTATTACAGTAAGAATGATCAATATGATGGATCTAATAATATATACAAGTCTAAGTGTTGACAGCAACATCGCACAAATAAATGTAATGGAGCTCAGTGTGAAATATGCAGTTTTGATGAGTTAAAGGACATGATGACAGCCTGACACTGTAGTTTCCCAGCATGCTCTCTGTTGTGTCAGGTGTTTGACTGGTCTCTTGTCTGTGTGTCGGTCTGCAGTACTGGAGGATCCACGTGGACCAGATGCATCCACAGAGAGACGGGATCAAGTCCTCGCTCAAATGGGCCAAGGTGCGTTCACTGACCTGGTTCAGCAATAACAGCAGTGATGGCTGTTTAACAGATGTCTGTGTGTGTGTGTGTCTGGCTCCACCTGCTGTTTCTTATTTTAATTACAGAGGACAAGAACTTTTTAATATTTCCCTTCACTACAACGAGCCTCTGTGGTGAGATACTGCAGTACTACTTCTTGTGAAATATTACCAGTAAGCTGCACCAAGTATTAATGTTTTCACTGCGTATGTGCTCTAAATGAACTCCCTGCATTAAGCCTGTCACCATTTCAGCGTCGTTCCTGTGAGAAACGATATTTTATTGAGCTGCTTTGTTTTGGATGAAATGACAAACAGAGCTGAAGTTGAGCTTGAATGGAAGGTAACTGGGCGTGGCAGGGCTGAACTATGAATGAAACTACTCCAATCCTATTGGTGTTACTAGAACGGTAGTGTGTGACGGCGTAACCGGAGGGGGTATATAAGCACGCATTAGCTTCTTTCTATTCAGCAGGCACTCTGGCTATGTTTGGAAGCTCCTACCTGACATCGAGACGAAGCAGCATGTCAAAGCGATTCCGACAGTGTGTCTTCCCAGGTGAGCGTTTCAACACGGAGGGTGATACCCATGGGATGTGCGTCTCATGCATAGGGATGTCGCATGCTCAGGCGGCTCTCGAGAGGGCTGCCTGCGACCATTGCGAGGCCCTGCCCCTGAGGGTGCTGAGGTCTCAGGTCTTCCTAGAGGATGGTCGGATGCGCTCCCCTCGTGGCACAAGCCCCGCGGTCGCTGAGGCGTCGCGGCGCCTTCGATCCTTGGGAATAACAACGCAAGATCGCCGAGGGTGCCGGAACGACTGAGGCCTTTTTCCGGTCCTCATCCGCGGAATCCTGGAATTCTCCTCCCCTTGTCCCCGATCGGGAGCCTGTTTCTCGGTTTCTCCCACTCGAGGGGCGAGTCCGGAAAGGCTGACACGTTCTGGCTCTGAGGAGCTAGATGTGCTTAGCATAGAGGAAACGGAACGTCATCAGCCCTCGCCAGGATACGAGGAGTTGTTGGAAGTGGTGACGCGGGCCGTGGCCAAGCTGCACATTGATTGGCCACAGGCGGTGCAGAAGCCATCGGCAGGCAGCAAACTAGATGAGCGGTTTCTGCAACACCGAGCGCCACCCCCACGTCGGCCCCTACCATTTTTTCCAGATCGTTACGTCCCACCAGCTGGACTACGGCAACGTGACGGGAATCAGACAGCACAGCTACAGAGCGATGCCACGAGTGGAGGAGGCACTGGCTAGCTACCTCTCTCCCAACCTCCCCTCATCCCTCCGCACGCCGGCGCTCCCCACCAAGCCGTGTCGGATGACGTCCGATTTGGTGGGCAAGGCCTACATGGCAGCGGGTCGAGCTGGTGCCAGCCTACATACGATGGCTGTCTTGCAGGCATACCAGGCCGATCTTCTTCGGGACTGTGACGCAGGGGGAGGTCCCTCTGAGGAGGACCTGACGGAGCTCCGTAGAGCGACGGCTCTTCGTGTGACCAAGGAAATGGCCCGTTCCATCGGCCGATCCATGGCGGCTTTGGGGGCTACGGAGCGCCATCTGTGGCTCAACCTATCAGGCATCCAGGGGAAGGAGAGGGCTTTTCTCCTGGATGCGCCCCTCTCGCCTTCTGGCCTGTTTGGCGAAGCAGTGGATGCTGTCGTCAACAGGTTCCAGCACGCCACATCATCCGCTCCGTCCGATACGGGTTACGAGCGGATGCCTTCGTTCCCTGTCTGTATGGAGGAAGCCTTGGTTCCTGTCCCAAGGTCCTGTGTTGGGAGCAATCTGTCGCCGAATAATTATTTCAACAGACGCCTCACTCTCCGCAGTCCTGGAGCAGGAGCAGACCTGCTATCGAGACAGGGGTTGAGGCCCGGGGAATGGAGACTCCACCCCGAGGTGGTGGAGTTATTATGCGAAGAGTTCGGCCCCATAGACGTGGACTTGTTTGCGTCCCGAGAGACGGCACACTGTCCCCTGTCGTTCTCCCTATCACCCCCAGCCCCGCTAGGGCTGGATGCCATGGTACAGACGTGGCTCAGCTCCCGGGTGTTCTGGAGCGGGTCCGCCAGGACGGCGTCAGCCTACTACTAGTAGCCCCATTTTGGCCGGCACGAGTATGGTTCTCGGATTTAATATCGCTCCTCGAGGGCCCGCCCTGGCAGGTCCCTCTGAGGAGAGACCTGCTGTCCCAGCGGGTGTCCGGATCGTTCACCCGCACCCCGCCCTGTGGCAGCTGAGTCTGGCCCCTGAGGGGGCGCAGTTCTTAGAGGCGGGTCTGACGACAGGAGCAGTCGAAACGCTGCTCAGCCCCAGAGCCCCGTCCACGAGATGTACGGCCTAAAGTGGGATGTGTTCACCACCTGGTGCAGAGAACGGGCAGTGGACCCAGTTACCTGCTCGGTAATTGTGATACTGGAGTTCCTCCAGCACCGTTTCTCCGCTGGCCTCTCCCCGTCCACGCTCAAAGTATATGTGGCTGCCATTGCAGCATCCCACGCCCCTCTGAGTGATGGGCCCTTGGGGAGGCTTCCGCTGGTCGTGCGCTTCCTCCGTGGAGCCCGGAGGATGAGACCCGTGACTCGTTCCAGGGTTCCCACCTGGGACCTGGCAGTGGTTCTCAAAGCGCTGGCTGAGGCCCCCTTCAAACCCCTGGTGTCGGCTGAGGCCAAGCACCTGACCCTTAAGATGACCTTTCTCCTCGCTGTCACCTCTCTGAGGAGGGTGGGGGATCTCCAGGCACTTGCGGTGTCTCCCCGATGCCTGGAGTTTGCCCCGGGGAGAGTCAGGGCCATCCTGCACCCTTGTCCAGGTTATGTCCCTAAGGTTCCGGCCAGACTGGCAGGGTCCACGGTGCTGCAGGCGTTTCATCCCCCACCTCATGTGACGGCGGAGGACGGGAGACTTCATCTGCTCTGCCCTGTCAGAGCACTGAGTATTTACATGCCGGGGCGTCACTCCAGGATTTGTGTGATGCGGCTGGCTGGGCCACCCCTCACACTTTTATGACTTTTATCTGGTTTTACAGTCTGGACCTGCCTTCTGCACCCGGCACCCGTGCGCTCTCCTCCTAGTCGTGCCGTCAGGTTCTGCACGCTGGGGGCAGGCGGGGTTTCGGTGCAGCCTAAGTGGGTATCTCGTTCCCATAGTGTCGTCACCGACGCATTTCGAGTTCCCTCGAAGGGGAACGTCTCGGGCTACGTATGTAACCCTTGTTCCCCGAGAAGGGGAACGAGACACTGCGTCGGTCCACCACACCTCACCCCGCCTGGAGTGTCTTGCTTCATAGAAAGGGCTAATGTGTCCTATGTACCGGCGTGCTTATATACCCCCTCCGGTTACGCTGTCACACACTACTCTAGTAACACTAATAGGATTGGAGTAGTTTCATTCATAGTTCAGCCCTGCCACATCCAGGGGCGTTCCCATAGTGTCGTCACCGACGCAGTGTCTTTTTCCCCTTCTCGGGGAACAAGGGTTACATACGTAACCCGAGACGTTTCTGCTTTGAGCAACACGTCTCCAAGTTTGTCCAGTCATGTTTTTATCACCTCAGAAATATTGCAAAAATAAGATCCATTTAAAATGTCAGAGATGCAGAAACTGTTGTACGTGCTTTTGTTTCCTCGCGCCTTGATCACTGCAGCAGCCTCTTCTCTTGTCTCAGTCAAAGAACCTTGAGACGACTGCAGACTGTGCAGAACTCAGCTGCTCGGCTTTAAACCAGAACCAAGAGGTCCGATCACATCACACCTGTTTGATCCTCTTTACGTCGGCTCCCTATTTGTTTCAGGACTGATTTTAAGATCTTATTGATCACTTTTCAGGCTCTCCAGGACCTGGCTCCAGATTAGATTTTGGATCTTTTAACTCCTTATGAGCCTTTGTGTAGTTTGAGGTCTTCGGGCTCCTGTCTCTTTCTGGATCCAGGCTGAAAGCTAAAGGGGACAGAGCTTTTGCTGTCAGGACCCCGAGGCTCTGGAACGACCTGCCCGAGGAAATTAGGCTGTCAGACAAAACACACTTAAATTATTTTCATTATTTGTTTTACTCCTTTATTTCTTCTTTTATCCTGAAGCTTGAAACTCTGACTGCCAGTGTACCAACAGCTGCGCGGAGCTTACTGAGTGTACATCAACAAGCAGCTGGAACATCTGATCCAGGATCAGCGCAGCGCTCAGGCCAAACTCAGCCAGGTTAACACCAAAGTCACACCTGCAGCTCAAACTGAGACAGAGGTGGAAAGAGTACAGAAATATCCTACCTAAGTAAAAGTACTGTTACTTTGATGAACTTTTTCTTAAGTACAAGTAAAAGTTCAAGGAAACATTTTTTTCCAAGCAGACACTGTGGGAGCTGTACTTTCAAAACATTTTTAATTGACATATTATTGTTTAATGTTTTCAACTTTCGCAAAATGAACATTTTTATTAGCTTATATCAGTGTGAACAGACTCCTAAAAAACATATGCATAAATCCATGATTATAAATCTACATGGGCCTACTTTACTAGAAAATGCTGGCAGACCAAGGAGGCAGTTCAAGGAGTGATGGTTAAAACCTGTAATTGTAGCCTTAATTGGCCTCTGATTGGCGTGAGATGGTAATCACCTGGTTTCGACGCTGTGTTGCAGCTGCGCCGTTATTCTGCATGGGACACCTGTAATGTTAGTTAGGCTACTGGTGGTAACAGCAGATGCCTTTTAATACAGCTGTTGTTCTCTTGCTCTTGAAGCCAAAGAGGTCGCAAGGTTGTTTACTCAGTAACGGATGTGACTGAAAATGTAGCGAAGTAAAATACCTTCAACAAAAAATACTTAAAAGTAAAATTAGAGATTTACTACTACTTCAAAAAGTACAAGTAGCCTACACAAATAAACTCCTCAATTACAGTAACGTGAGTAATTGTAATTCGTTCCACCTCTGAACTGAGAACTTCCAGCTGACGGACAGGGGCTTTTAGGAATGGGCCAAAACACCAGAAATAAGAGAAGAAACGTTGTTCTGTCCTGAAATACGTTCAGGGTTCAAACTGCAGGTGTCACCTCCTTCACATGTGGTCAAACTAAAGTTTGGGTCTTTGGGTTTCCTGCTATTTTCCAGCTTCTCACCTGGTCTCGGCTCAGTCAACACAAGAGGGCGCCTTCATCCTGCTAACCAGGGATGTAGTGGAGGTTAAAGCTCCTCAGCTCACTTTGTCTGCACTTTGAGTTCACAACATGTTTTTAGTCTGATAAAAAGCTTCCTAGTAAAAGTGCATTGTGTCACACATCATGGTAAATGGTGTCAAAGCACTAAAAGTGCTAAAAGATACAATCTCTGTTTGCTTCCTTTAAAATATAGTCAGCTCTCTGACATTGAACAGACTTTGAGAAAGAGCTGGAGAAATATGGAGCAAAGAAGTATTTTGGAACAAGTCCCAGCTTGATAACCCCTCCCTCTTCCTCCTGCTCTTAAATCACAGCGAGCTCCCCTCTGTCCATATATTTCCTTGTTCCCTCCCCTTCAGATCTACAGTTTGAAGATGGGTGTAACCAACATGTCCTTAAGTGCAGGCGCAGTTTGATTACCTGTCAAACTAGTTGCACTTCTGAGGAAGTGAAACTCAGACAGTCATTGCCACTGAGAGGTGAAATGGCGCAGAAAGGAGTTCAGCTGGACCGAGAAAAATTCTGCTGTTCGATCTGTCTGGATCTGCTGAAGGATCCGGTGGCTACTCCCTGTGGACACAGCTACTGCATGAACTGTATTAAAAACTTCTGGGATGTAGAGGATGAGAAGAAAATCCACAGCTGCCCTCAGTGTAGGCAGACCTTCACACCGAGGCCTGTCCTGCTGAAAAACACCATGTTAGCAGATTTAGTGGAGGAACTGAAGAAGACTGGACTCGAAGCTGCTCCTGCTGATCACTGCTATGCTGGACCTGAAGATGTGGCCTGTGATGTCTGCACTGGGAGAAAACTGAAAGCCCTCAAGTCCTGTCTGGTCTGTCTGGCTTCTTACTGTGAGAAACACCTCCAGCCTCACTTTGAATCACCTACATTTAAAAAACACAAGCTGGTGGAGCCCTCCAAGAAGCTCCAGGAGAACATCTGCTCTCGTCATGATGAGGTGATGAAGATGTTCTGCCGTACAGATCAGCAGAGTATCTGTTATCTCTGCTCTGTGGATGAACATAAAGGCCACGACACAGTCTCAGCTGCAGCAGAAAGGACCGAGAGGCAGAGAGAGCTCGAGGTGAGTCGACAAAACATCCAGCAGAGAATCCAGGACAGACAGAAAGATGTGAAGGTGCTTCAGCAGGAGGTGGAGGCTATCAATGGCTCTGCTGATAAAGCAGTGGAGGACAGTGAGAAGATCTTCACTGAGCTGATCCGTCTGATGGAGAAAAGAAGGTCTGATGTGAAGCGGCAGCTTAGATCCCAGCAGGACACTGAAGTGAGTCGAGTCAAAGAGCTTCAGGATAAGCTGGAGCAGGAGATCACTGAGCTGAAGAGGAAAGACGCTGAGCTGAAGCAGCTCTCACACACAGAGGATCACACCCAGTTTCTACACAACTACCCCTCACTGTCAGCACTCAGTGAATCTACAGACTCATCCAGCATCAAGATCCGTCCTCTGCGCTACTTTGAGGATGTGACAGCGGCTGTGTCAGAAGTCAGAGATAAACTACAGGACGTTCTGACAGAGACATGGACAAACATCTTAAAGACAGTGACTGATGTGGATGTTTTACTGTCAGAACCAGAACCAGAGCCCAAGACCAGAGCTGACTTCTTAAAATATTCATGTGAAATCAAACTGGATCCAAACACAGCACATACATGGCTGATATTATCTAAGGGGAACAGAAAAGCAACAGTAATGATAGAAGAAGATGAAGAAGAAGGAGAAGAAGAAGAGTCTTATTCTAGTCACCCAGACAGATTCACTAGATGTTGGCAGGTCCTGAGTAGAGAGAGTCTGACTGGACGTTGTTACTGGGAGGTGGAGTGGAGAAGGGGAGAAGTTCGTGTAGCAGTCGCCTACAAGAACATCAGCAGAGCAGGAAGCGGGGATGAATCTGGATTTGGACAAAATAAGAAATCTTGGATGTTAAATTATCAGAACAACAGATACAACTTTTGCTACAACAAAGTCCAAACTCCCGTCTCAGGTCCTCGGTCCTCCAGAGTAGGAGTGTACCTGGATCACAGAGCAGGTATTCTGTCCTTCTACAGCATCTCTAAAACCATGACTCTCCTCCACAGAGTCCAGACCACATTCACTCAGCCTCTCTGTGCTGGACTTGGGTTTTATTATTATGAAGCCACTGCTAAGTTCTGTAAAGTCAAATAGTCAGAAGTCATTTCAGGGACAGTGGGTTAAATTCTGTCTTTTAATCCTTCAACTTATTTTGTCTTCGTGGTTGTTGCTGAGAGCTGATTGTTGTGGCCTTGACCTGTCAATCAAACATTGTGGGCGGTACTTTGAGGTCTTGTCATTAGTTGCTGTGTAAATGTTTGAGTTTCTTTAGGCGGCGCTCCTTCCTGTGTCTGTTTAGCCATGGAGGCTATCACTGCTCAGGATGACTTTTGTTTACCTGAACTGACTTTTCTCTGCATGAAAATGGAAACTTGTCTGAGCTCTAAATGTTTGTTGAATATTTGGATTGATGTATTTGTATGTTGTTGTTTCTCTTCCACTGCATGGGTCTGAAGAGAGAAAGCAGCAGACCTTCCTTTATCTCAGAGATTTTGTTCTCACTTTGGAAAGAAATCTAGAATTACATTCACATTTATTTGTTTGGCAGACCAAATGTTGTTGTTGTCCAAAGAGACGTACAAATGAGGGACTGTGAGGTATTTTAAAGTGTAATTCTCCTGATCAGAATCAATAAGGAGCTCATTCTTTTCTTTGACAGCTGAGATTCTGCTCAAACACACTGATTGTGTGGATGAAGTGAATCTGTGCATGAAATCATTGAACAAGAGTCATTTAACAGACTTTACTGATGGGATGTGTGAACAAACTGAAGGTTTACATGATGAATAAACAAACATAAACCAAGTCTTTTCTTCTCGTCTTCATTCCAGGGTTTCATACAGAGCTGATGGAGAACATGTGAAACTAATCTGAGAGTAGAACTGAGGCAGTTTTCCTCCTGAAACACCACAAAGTACAGAGTTCATGTTTAGAGCAGAAGAGCGTTTGTCAGTCAGTCTCTGTCCTTTCAGCTTTCCTCACTAAAACAGCTTTGTCACAGAGAAATGAGCAGAGTTTTCTGTCGCTTGGTGCTTTTTACAACCAACTTTTTGTTTGTGCACTTAGTCAATAAATTTATTACACAGAATTAAAACAGTGGAAAAACAGCCAGAATTAATTTGGTCAAGTTTGGGTGTGAAGTACTTTAGTTGAGTCATTAGTGTGTAACAATGTGTATAATTTCTTTCCTATTAGCTTATTAATATCCTCAAATATGTGATCTGGGGCAAATGCCTCCAAATATAGTATATAAATATAGTAAAGTGTCTGTAAGTGTACTTGCTCGTTATAAACATTATTTATTTGATTAAAGTGCAGCTTTCCTTCAGTGTTATCATGAGGAAGAGGAAGGTAGAAGTGACATTCATCAGCTCCCCCAGTGTTCACCTCAAGCCTACGTCCTCGGTGCTTCGGCTATAATCTTTAAATGTCAGGCCTGATTTGCTGATAAACTGCAAACTGATTACAGTCAGCTGTAGAAATATTTTCAGTCACTACATCAACTAATTTATTGAAATTTGGACAGTATGGAAAACTGTGTTTAAAGGTTTTCAACCTTCAGTGTTTCTATTATCTATTTTTTTGTAACAAATTCATTAAAAAATATGACATTTACTTCTTTTTCTTAACACAGTGTGTCTGGAAATGATTATATAGTGTAATGAATTATTAAAAATTCAGAATCCAGAGAAAAAGTTAATCTACTGTTTTGCAAGACATTAAGTTTTAAAGACTTTCCATCTCCACTGTAAAAATAATAATAATCAAGAAACCAACTATCTATATTACAAACAGCTACCCAAGTAGTAATTTACCAGCCCTGAGTAGTGTCTGCAGGTACTCCTTTCAGGCTGCACGCGGCCCAAACAACCTCCACCAATAAAGTCTGTCAGTCTGTTGTAGCCTGAGAGGAGAAAAATAATAAGTATGTGTGTAATGTAACTTTAGCCCAAACTGAAATTTATAAAAGTGTTATTGCTGAATCTGTAGAAAGTTTCCTATGTACTGGGCTTCTCTCCGGCCTGAATAATAAAACTGTAAAAACTGCAGAAAATCAAACAACAGCTCTAAATTCCTGATGTGAAACCTCAAAACTTCCAAAGTAAACAAGAACAACAAGCCATTTTCAGTTTTATATCAAAATGCTTTATTGATATCACAAAAATCCAAATGATACAAAACGAACATGAGAGTCAGTTAAATGAGATTATCGTGTCAGAATATAAAACTGATGCATCTCCTTGAAACGGATACAGATCACATCAAAAGTGCAAATGTGCTCAAGGACCATGTCACAATAAATAAGATTATTTACATCCTCACAGTTTAAAACTCACACACACACTCAGCTGCTTGGTAGAAAATATGTGCCACACAACAAAAACTACTTATTTTAAAGTTAAAAACCGCCCAGCAACATGGTGATACTGGTCGTACTGGTGGAGGAGGAGGCTCAGCTGTTAGGTCACTTGTGAACAGACAGTGGTTGAAAGTGTAGTGGTTGATTTAAAGCTGCACTCACAAAGATGGCCTCAAAATAAAGAAAACAAATCAGAGTTTGGATCGCACCCTTAAAGGAAGGTGTGAAGTTAAACCACATGAGGTCAGCAAAAGATTTTCAGGGGGTGTGAAGTTTCTTTTTAAGCTTCAGTTTGCATCTCTGTTGGGAGGACAAGCGAAGACACTGACAGCATAATTTACTTTCTGTGAATCTGCAGCGTGACAGTTTGTAGAAAAGGGCTGTTTGTCTCTGTGGTGGCTTCACTGTGATTCAGGCATGATGAGTGCGTTAACGCCACAGAGGAGCTGGATGATACCCAGTGAAAACACCAGCATCCCCGAGGGGAGCTGCTGGAAAACACAGTCAAAGGTTCCCTGTGGAGTTTCACACCTCTAGCCATGATATGATGCAAGCTAGTTAACGTGGATGTAAACGATCCTGGATTTAAAAAACACGAGGAAGAACGCACTGTGTTTTGTTGCGTAACACTGAATGTAAACATACCTTTTTTTATGTTTACAAGAAAGCTCCACGGGGCCCCTGTAAGTGGGAACTTTTCACACTTTGGTCTGGCTTTTCAAGATGAACTGAGGCCACCTGAGAGTTTTGTTCCTGGGATCACAGCACAGTGCAGGTTCCAGAGCGGGGCCCCCTGGCTCCAGAGGGCAAAGCGCTCTGCTGTGCTCCGCCTCTCTTTGTATCCGGGACTCTGCTCCCAGCGGCAGAAGAGGAGGGAGGCTCTCCCTGAACGGCTGCGTCCCCACGGACGACCCCCTCCGCTGGGGTTTGGTCCCTGCCGTTGGTCTGCTTGGACCTGGAGAAGGACAGCCGTCTGAAGAGAGAGAGCTGAGAGGAGCACAGTTAGTTTACGATTGTCTAAACACCAACTTGACCATTATTCTGGATTTATCGTCTCCATCTGAGGAAGCGAGAGTGAAAAGTTCATTTCTATCTCAGTACTCCAGATAGTATATCCAGGATTGTGAAACCATGATACTGGGATACTCCTAATCATTATTGAGAAAATAATACACATGTAAAAACACTATCTGACATTTTTAATAACGTAACTGACTAAAATTCCAGCCCTTCGACACACTGTAACCCTGCCCAACAGTATGTTGTGTGGTTCACTTTATTTGTGCAGACAGGGATAGTAAATGTAATGAATGTATTTTTAATTGTAATTTGTGTGTTTTTACCAGGCTTTAAATGATCCTCATTTCCCACAAACACCTTAAATGCTGTATATCAACATACGTACAGGTATGTAGTTTCCCTTTTTCATAATAACAAATGAAAGAAATACTCATATTTCATATTGAGTCAGATAAAGAAGATAGTTTTTCACTTTCTGCACTGAAATGTCTGAAAGGAATTTACTTCTGAAAACAACAGCCAAAGGAGAAAATGTAACAACCGATCTATGGTAATATCATTGCTATGAAGACAAGCACACAGTTGTTCCACCAGTTTGTTTGGTCTCCAGATATGTTAATACGTTTGTTTCTTGTACCTTTTTGTTGGAGCCTGATTGGCTTTTGGAGTTGCTGTCTGCCGTCCCATTGGCTGGTCTGGTGCCGTCGTCTGTCTTTTCTCCACCTGTAGAGTCGGGCTGCTCCGTGATTTCAGCTGCTGTTGATGTTTGATTTACAATTCCATCATTATCACCCTGTTAGTCCAAGTAAGTCTCTGCTTTTTGGATGTGTGTTTTTATCATCACTGCATTTTAATCTGTGGAAATCTTTTTGGTTTTCTCAAGTTTCATTCATGTTTTTAACACAGACTAATTAATGACAGACAAATTAATGTTTTCAGATTAAACAAACCTGCGTCACCTTCCTGCTCTCCGGAATTTTCTTTCAGCTCTTCAGGCTCCTGGAAAGATCAGACGCTACATGTTAGTGTCAACAGGAGTATTAAACGAGTGTCAGACATTTGATCCAGCTCTTACAGGACTCTGAGTCTCCTCTGTTTGCTTGTCTGTCGAGACGTCTAAACTCGAGGACGGCCCCTCTGTCTCAGCTGATGTATCATTATCCTCTTCCTCCACCTCTTCTTCATCAACAGTGTCCTCCACTTCCTCTTCATCTTCGTCTTGTCTTTCCTCTTCATCTTCGTGCGACGTCTGAGCAAAACCTTTTGTCAAATCCTGACAAAAAGAGGGAATTTAAGACATGAAAGACAGATTTTATGAGAATAAGAGCACAACAGTGCCAACAATCCATCTTTAAGTCATTATTTTTCCTAAAGAAGTTTGAGTTGTTTCAACAGTTTTACAGAATATTCCAACAAGACAAAATAACAGCATTCCTCTGCAGTAGGGAATCTGATTTTAATCATTTCCAGGTCTGGATAAGTATGGGAAAATATTTGTTTTCAGACAATTGTCCTTATTTTAATTGCAAATATACACAATAATGAATTCCTAAAAAGAAATTGATCATACAAGGAGATCAAAATACAAGCACCACAAATAACCAAATATTATTGAGCTTGTCTGAACATTTATAAGTTATGCAGTGATGTAGTCATCAGAAACGTAAACAGACTTTTCCGCTTAAGGAACAATTTCTTTATGGCTGCGTTCATCTTTGTTTCCATGAACAGTGAATAAAAACGATAATGATGGACAAAAAATGTAATTGTTTAACTTTTTTCAACAAGTTTTTTGCTTCTTATTTATAAAAAAGACTAAAAACCTTGGGAAACAATAATATAATTTATTATTAATATTATTATTTATTCAATATGTTAATATTATTTAAAAATAATTTTAAAATAATGCGAGAATTGGTAGCAAAGGTTAATTTACTTCCTCTTTGGACAGAGATGTACGGCGTCCAACTTTCTGATTTGAATGAGTTACATTACCTCGCTACAAATATTTAGCATAATAATAGCATATATAGTCCGAATGTTAACAGTTGGATTTTAAAAAACATTTATGTACATAATAAACACCTAGTCTGAAAATTTGTGTCTCTGTAATAAGGTCTAATTAGAATCTTTCATCCTCAAGATTGTAAAACTAAAAGATTAAATTTTTTGAAGTAACTGAGTAGCAGTTGAAAAGCTTTACCTAGGAGGACTGAGCTCAGTTGGCTCTCACATTACCAATTACGGAAGTAGATTTTCTTCAAAGGTAATTTAAAATGAAGAGGAAAGAAGAAAATTGGGTCAGTAAACAACACATAGTAAAATATATATAAGATATGCAGTAAAATCAGGATGTTTCATACTTGAGTGTTAATTTTCCTACCTTAATCTATGTGTTCCATAACTAAACAGCAGAAAATGGATTTCACTTTATTTATTTCACTCTGTTGAATAAATAAGAAAGTAAGCTGACAAAATGCACGGTGCTCCTTCAGACTACAGCAGGGAATAATGGAAAGGGATTACAGGAGGGATTATAATCACAAAAGACAAAAAGAAAACATGCCCCACCTCATCTTCAAACAAGCCAATCAACACTCAACAAAAGCTTCAGACGTCAGAGTTTATGAAGATTAGCTGAAAAGATTAGTAATGTAATTAATCTTCAGAAACATTTAGAATTTTTTTTTATTGATTAAGTTATTTAAGAAGCAAGACTGTCAAACACTCTGTTTCCAGTTTATTTAATGTGAGGATTTGCTGCTTTCCCCTGTTTTATATCATCGTAAGCTGAATATTTTTGGGTTTTGGACTGCTGGTTCTGGGATCTAATGACGGGCACTGTTCACTATTTTCTGACATTTTAAAGACAAAAGTATTGAAAAGAAAATATTCAAAACTTGCCTTGAGTTCTGTTTTTATTGGTTAAGTTTGATGTATTAGATAATTACATCATAATCATACTTTGTATGTGAAGAAAAAGTTGTATTATTTCAAGAATAAAGTCATCATATCCATGAGGGACATGGTGACCTGGTTAGAGGCTTCTCCAATAAATATTTTATCAGAGATTTAAGGATGTTTTAAAGCAGACACTGAAGCACAGTGGGACATCAGACAAGTGCAAAGACCTCATGGCGTCATAAAAAGATTAAAGCTCGGCCATTCAAAATACTATGACTTCATTGTTGAAATGTCCGATAAAGTGTATTTATGGGAACCAGAACAAGCTGTCAGGATGTCACTGAATATACAGTGGACTTGTGTTTTAGTGAGGTGTTTTTTAGGTACATATGCTCATTGCCTCAGACAGATATAGAAAGATAAGGAAAATCAATCCTAAAGTCTTTGCTAGGAGCTCATTTTTGAGAACACCACACAAAAACAACATAATTGAAATAAAACATAATTATTTATTACAAACACAGAAATTAATAAAACCAGAAGAAGAAAGTAGAAAGAAGGAGCAAAGTAGGCAGAAGAAACAGTCCAGATAAAAATGTAAATCTTTTAATTTGCCAAAGCAGGAGGTCATTAAAACACTGGTACTTTCTGTTTAAAATTTTACTGAGCCACTGTTCTTTAACCCAAATATACCCATTTTTAAGCTGCCAAAAAAAGAAGTAAACAAAGCCTTTAAAAGTAAAACATAATTTTTTTCATTATCTAAGGACTGACCGTTCTGAATCAAACATTATGAGAGAAGCAGCTCAGAAAGGAACTTAGAAATGCATTAATTACATGTGAAACAAATGATGAAATAAAGATGAATGATATATGAGCAGAAAGGCACTTTGTGTAAAAGCAGAAAGCACAGGGGTTTGGTTCTTTGAGATGGACTTGCTGTAAACAAGTTATTGTAGCTTCAGCTTAATGGACAAGCTGTAAACACAATACCGACATATTATCACCGTTGTTATGGCTAATACATTAACGAGCGGCTGCCTACGTCAACATCCAGCAGGCACAAAGCAACGTTAATTTTGAGTTGTGTTTGTGTGATTAAAGTCTAATATTCACTCTCGTTCTAGCTTCAGCTTGGTCTCCACCAACTCCTGAGATAAATATTTTCCTGATGATGCTTATTTTTTCTCTGAAATTTGAATAGAATTACTTCTCCTATAGAATTATTTTATTTAGGGCTAAAGCAATTAGTTGATTAATCGATCAATAAACAGATGTAAAAATTTATCAAAAATATTTCTGTCAAAGCACTTAATTGTTATGTTCTCTGGTTTCAGCTTCCCAATGTGAAGATTTGCTGCTTTTTCTGTTTTCTTATCACTGTAAACTGAATATAAAAACATTTTAAAAAGTTTTTGGACTGTTGGTCAGATAAAACATCCGTCACTGGGATCTTCGAAACAATACTGACAGATTGATCAATAATAAAAAGGATTTGTGTTACTTCAGGTTGAGGTACTGCGGCAACACGTCATCCCAAAACTCCTCTGCCTCACCTGCTGCCTGACCTTTGACCCCTGACCTTCTAGATTTAGCACTTTGTTTTTTCACTCCAGCTGACTTTTTCTTAACAACCTCCTCTTCTTCTTCTTCTTCTTCCTCCTCTGCTTCTTCTTCAGCCTCCTCATCCTCCTCTTCCTCATATTTGTTATCAACCTCTTCCTCCTCAGCCTCTTCATCCTCTTCCTCACTTTCTTGATCCTCTTCCTCCTCTTCTTCAGCCTCCTCCTCCTCCTCATTGCTGTCTTCCTCCTCACCCTCTTCCTCACTGTTTTGATCCTCCTCTTCTGCTTCATTCTCTTCTGCTTCCTCAACACTCTCTTCTTCTGCTTCTTCTTCTTCCTCCTCCTGTTCTTCACTATGACTCTCCTCCCCCTCCTCATCTTCCACTTCTTCTTCCTCTTCTCCACTTTCCTCCTCATTTTCAGCCTCTTCTTCCTCACTGCTCTCCTCCTCTCCCTCCCCCTCTTCTTCCTCGTCAGCACTACTCTCCTCTTTCTCCTCTTCATCCTCCTCCTCTTCTCCTCCCTCTGTCTCACTCTCTACGTCACTCTCTTCTCTCTCCTTTGAAGACTTTAAAGACTCACTTTCACCCTCCTCTTCCTCCCCCTCACTTTCCAAATCCCCCTCTTCTTCGTCACCTTCCTCCTCATTTTCAGACTCTCCTTTGCTCTCTTTATCGTGGTTTGACCCTTCGTCACTCTCCTCCTCTTCCTCCTCTACATAACTACCTTTGCTCTCTTTATCTTCAGTCTCATCTTCACTCTCACTTCCTGCCGCCCTGCTTGCTTCCTCTTCCTCCTCCTCTTCCTCAGCACTGCTCTCACCTTCTACCTCATCCCTGCTTCCTTCCTCATCTACATCAGTTTCTGACTCATCCTCTGGTTGTAGAGTGTCGCTGTCTTTGTCTTCTTCTTCTTCTTCTCCTTCTGTTATTTTCACAATAGCCTGACTGACATCCTCCTCCTCTTCTTCCTCGCTTACATCTGCACTCGTTCTCTGCCCTTCCTCATCTTCACCCTCCTCCTCCTCAGGTTTGGCCATCACAGAGTCCGTCTGCTCCTCGCTCTCCTCCTCACTTTCATCCTGACTCCTTTCCTTCTCGTCCTGACTCCTTTCCTTCTCGTCCTGACTCATTTCCTTCTCGTCCTGACTCATTTCTTTCTCGTCCTGACTCGTCCTACTTTCAGACGCAGGTATGATGCTGATGCTGACCGCGGATTTGTTACTTAAATCGGCAGCGTAGGATTCAGATTCATCGCTCCGTGATTTTGTCATGCTGTCTTTCTTGACACCGCGGCTGCTCTCAGATGGGGATGTTGACGGCGAGCTAAAGCGTCTTACGGACGCCACCTCATTCATTAATAACGATCCTGCTGCAAGAGAGGCCACTCCAGCAAGCAGGCCGAGATTTGACGTATCTTTTCCTGTTTGTTCGGACTGAGCCTCTTTTTTGTTTTTCTCATTCTTGGATTTTTTAGAAAAATCTGTTTTCCCTTTAGATGTCCGGGTTTTTTTCACCTCTGAGAGAAGTCGAGAGCTATCTAAAGTCATTTCATCTAAGGCATCGCTGACATGAAACGCAGGGGAATCTGTGCGACTGTGTTTAGCTGGCGAGCTAACTCTTGCCTCTTGACTTTGCAAGGCTATCGGTTTGCTTTTAACACTGACAGTTTTAGGCTGCACTTGCTTAACTTTCGCCAGTGCAGATTCAGAGCTGACACCTGAAGCTGTCATTCTGGTTTCAGGACTTTGTTCAGAGTCTGATACCAGCTTCCTGCCAACCTCTATCAGCTGACTTTTCCCCTGAACTGGCCTGAGCCGCTGTTTGGACGCTGCCTTCCCAATGTCCCCTACACTAGGAGGTTTGTTTTTACTGGGTTTCCTCTGCAGCTCTTCCACGGCCATGATCAGATTCTCTTTGTTCTGGATGGTTGTTTTCTGTCTATGTGGGCTCTGAGAGGCCGGAGAGTGAGCGCTGTGGCCCCTCAGGAGCTCAGTGGGTAAGGCCCGGCGTGGAGAGATAGCCTCGCTCTTCTGAGACGGGGAAGTTGAAGAGAAACTGCTCTGCTTTAAGAGCTTTCTCTCCTTTTTTTGGGTTTCTTTCTGCCCTTTATTGGTCTTACCATGCTTACCCTTCCTCTATACGCGGCACAAGAAAGCAAGAAGAGGATGAAAAAGAGGCATGCATTAGAGAGGAAAAGAAACATGCAGAGAAATCAAAATAAACAAGAGACAGAAGAAAATAATGAAAAAATAGAAGTTAATTATGTTTCCCAACTCTTTCTGTTTCTCATACTTTCATCAAGGTGGTATATGGTTACTTTATAAACAACATCAGGAAGCCATTTTGGATTTCTAAATTGGGTACTAGACAAGTAGCTGGGGAATAATGCTTGGTGTTTAGTAGAAGAGTTGGGCAACATATTTGCATTCTCAGAATTTAAACGAATAAGAGGAGAATGATGGGGAAGCAAGAACACAAGTTACCTTGTGGACTGGAGACAGAGTGAGTGTTTTATCACCGGGGTCCATCTTCATCACATGTGTCTATCAAGAGAAGGTGGGAAAAAAAGAAAATGAGCAGCAAAATCCTCAATGTTCCACTTATCAGATATCGTTTAGGATGGATTCACTGATCTCACCATATTGAGGAAGTCAGTGGTTTCTCCCAGGCCTTTAACGCTGTCGGTGTCGGTCAGGCTCTCCACAACGCTGTCTGTCTCGCCCCCGGAGTGCTCTGACGAGGTAGAAAATGGCAAGTTAGTCCAGACTTTTTCTGATTCAGCCTAGATTTCTGCAGCACTTCAAACATTCATTTTAATTACTTTTTAATCTTTTGTCTATCTATGGGCTGAGGCGTTACGTCCTTCCTGTCCACCCAGTTCCTTCACATCAGCTGTCAGACAGCATTATATTGCTGTAAATGCTAAATTATCAGTGTAAGGCTAGAATAGAATGCGAGTTCCTGAAGAGATAAATATTTGCAGGAGACATAGAGAAAGCTGAAGTAAAATGAAGTCGGATAAGAGCACTAATATGCTTAAACACCCTCATTAAACGGTATTACGTCTTCTGACAATTGGGTCTGCTTAAACAGAACAAAATGCTATGTGAAATGTAATCCTTTAGAGATGTAACTGCTTTAATGTCTTGGTCTGATCCTGGAGGAAAGGAGGAGGTGGTGGAGGTGAGGTAGGTACCCTGGTGGTTTGACACTGTGCTCCTGTGTTGGTGATTGCCGATGAGCACCTTTCTGTGGCTCAGCTCAGGTGGAGGCAGTCTGGGCGGGATGGTCTGGCTCGAGACGGGCAGCGGAGGGTGGAGGTAGCCGGGCATCATGGCGGGCAGCGTGCGGAACATGGCGCCGAACTGGTCCGGAGATCTCTCCTGTTGGGGTAGGATTAAGAGAGCGTTTCATTTTCAAGAGTCACATTGTAGTGAATGAGCACTTGTGTATGTGGGGAATAAAATAGCAAAACATTTCTCAATACGGATTAAACATTTATTTATAGGCTGCCGTTAAAGCCAGTTTAAATGTTTTGATGCACAAGACATCTACATTTTTTTCAATTTGATGTAATTTTTACTGAAAATATATTGTATGTAGTTTCATAAAAGTTAAATCTGTTTTCGTTGATAAGAAGAATTAATTTTCAGTAGGTCAAAAGAAGTTTCTCAAAATAACATTAACTGCCATTTATACATTTCATTTTGAAGGTGCACCCCACTACATGTTTAAATACTGTATAGTCACTGAAATTCTATTTAGGCAGTGGTAAAACATAACATAGATGTCTGAAAACTTTGTGCCAATTTTTAACTTAAATCTTAAGTATGCAAATCAACAAACACCTGATGAAAAAGGGTTTGAACAACCAGAATATTTAACACAACAGAGACTTTTAAGAGTAAAATATACTGTTTCAGATATTTCAGCATCATAGAGTACGGTCTAGACCTGCTCTTTTATGAAAAGCGCTGTGAGATAACTGTTGTTGTGATTTGGCGCTATATAAATAAAATTTAATTGAATTGAATTGAATATTTACTAAGTAGCTCACCATCTCACCTTTAAAATATATAATCAGTCAAGTATTAGGCAAAGAAATACAGGCTTTTATGTAGGTTATGTTAAACTGTTAAATTAGATCTTCCGCAGTATAGCAAGTAGATTTAGTAGTAGTAGTTGTTTGTAATGAGATGCCTTGTACACTATCACTGTTTGTTGAATCATATCTTGTTTTATCAGTGGATGAATCCTGCCTCCGTGCTCTCTACCCACCCTCTCCCTCCTGCGAACCCGAGCAGAGAGGCTCCTCTGCAGGGCGGCGGAGTCGGCCGTGTCGCCCAGCAGCTCCACGTACGGCTTCTCCAGGTAATCTTCTGTCACGTCGTCTTCCTCCAGAGTCACGTCGCCGCAGCTCTGATCCCTCGGCCGAGCCAACGCCACCATGTGGCAGCCGCCACACGTAGCCTGCACAAAGACACAGCTCACTTTGTTATCCAGCATTTGAAAAATCTAATTAATAACAAAAAATAAATTTAAAATACCTACAAACAAATATCTTTTTTATGTAAAATAAAAATATAATTAATAAAACTGATCATCTAAATAATAATGTTAAAATTCAAGAATAAAAGGTAACAATTATTATAATTATTTTATAAAAATGTAAAAACAAACATAAATAAATATAAATAACAGGAATAAATATAAATCATTATATTGTTAGAATTATATATCTAATGAATACAAAAAGTGCTTTATAAAATGTAAAAAGTTTGAATTTTATGAAATATTCAATATAAAATAAATAAAAATATTAAATTCTAATATTATTTAAAAATGTAAAGCAACTGTGATACATTTAAAAAATACATAAAACAATTAATTCTAATTGAATTTATTGTTGTGAATCTTATTCCAATTATACCAGTATAATCAATATTTCTTTTTCCAATATTATAATATCCAAACAAACAAACAAACAAACAAGACCTGCCCATGTGAAACACCTACAGCCTGAACGTAATACTTGAGGAAGCGAGGACAGAGAGTTGGTTTAAACTGGTTGGTGAAGTTTTCTTCTCCCAGGCCCAGTTTCCCATGTCTGCCGTCTCCAAACGTGTACAGCAAGCCGCCGTCTAAAAAACAACAGCAACATTTTATTAAGTCAGAAAAGAGGAAGAGAGCTACTTTCATCAAACCAGTGAAAAGAAAGAAATAATAAATTAATTTAGAGCTGGTAGTGAAATAAAGGCAGTAATTACCCGTGATCACAGCAGTGTGGTTTTCTCCACAGGCCACCTGCCTGACTCGTCCCTTTTTGAAGTGCTCGACAGGCCGCGGCAGCCGCGCCTCGAAGATGAACGTCCCGTGGCCAAGTTGTCCAAACTGTCCGAGACCGAACGTGTACACGCCATCCTCTGAAAGACCACAAACAGATTTATAAGAGCCTTATGTAATTATTATTAATATAAAGGTATAATTCACCATGTCTGACATCTCCACAAAGATTCCCCCATATTTTATTTCAAGACAATCAGAGCAGGAAAATGTATGTGTATTTCAGGCTATTGTTGCTGTTTTTAATATTATAAAAGATTAGAAAACTTTTATTATTGTTTATTTTTGTTTCAGTTTTTTGCTCAAATATATTTCCTTTTTTTTCACTTTTCAATTTAGAAATTTCAAAACTTCAAGAAAAAAAATAAATCCTCCAGAAATTTAAATAAAATAAACATACTAATAACAATCTGTAAAAAAAACCTCCACTGCAAGTAAAAGTCCTGCTTTCAAACCTTCCTTCAGTAAAAGTATATAAGGAACATGACACAGCATGTCCCGGGCGTCTTATTCACTCTGCAGAAACTTGTTACCAGTGATATCATCCTATAAGTGATGTCAGTCAGATTTAGTGCACAGCCATACTTGTAGTTTTTTAAAAAGATATTTCTCTACCTGTGATTGCCACCGTGTGTCCGCCGCCGCAGGCCACCTGTGTCACCGGCTCCTTGATGGTCTTCACCCGCTGAGGGACTCGGTGTCGGGGCAGCTGGTCGGTGCCCAGACCCAGTTTACCGCTGTCACACTCACCAAACGTGTACAGACTTCCGTCAGCTGAGACAAGAGGAAAACACTTCATCCCACAAAGAGGCTAGAAAGAAGCTACTCTTCACTTTAAAAACACATAACTTTCCCTTACTGTTTCCAGATTTAATTATATTTTAGTTTTAAGTTTGTTAAGCAAAATGGTCCGTATACTCAATTCAACAACCAGAACCAGAAAAATACGACAAAATCACAAAGTAAAGCTGACTTTGATCATTTCACATGAATTAAGGTCAGTGTTTTCCAGAGCTTTCAGACACATCTCATGGTCTTCATCAGAGAATGTAGTTTCAGTTATTAAATCTTATTTTTTTGTATGATCGCATTTTATAATTTAGTTATTATATAACGGTAGATTTGTCAAGTGATGACAACTGAAGCATCTCCATGGCAACTGAGCAAATGCAATCAGCTGATGAAGGCCACAACATTTGGCTGAAAGCTCTGGAGGAAGTGGATCTGGAGTTAAGAATTAATGTTCAGGCTCAACTTTGACTTTTGTTTTCTTATTCATTTGGTTCCGGTTGTGCAGGTGAGTACAGAGTTTATTGAGCTTTTTGATTAACCAAATTAAATCTAAAATGTACGGTAATTAAATCTTGGAACAGGGAAGGAAAATAATGTGTTTAATATTAAACTATTTCCAAGGTCAAGGACGAACCTTCAACTCTGGGATTATGTTTTTCGTTCTTTTGGTTCTGATTGTAAAATAATATCTAAATATATATATATAATAATATATGCAAAGCTTTGATAATTTAATGCTTTATTCAGATCGTTTTACAGACTTAAACACCTGCTCACCGGTCACTAAGGCAGAGTGGTAGTATCCACAGGACACCCAGCTGATTGGTTTTCCCACGCTGACTTCCTGTGGCGAGGAGGCGTGGTTCTCCTTCCCTAAACCGATTTGACCCTCCGTGTTGTCGCCCCACATGAACAGTTTACCACTCTCTATGGGCAGTAAATACAAACATCATTTTTATTTCCTCTGCCTTATCTTGTTTTTCAGCATTTATAAAACATAAAGGATGTGTAACAGTGACTATATTTATTAACCAAGGATTTAAAGTTGTACAAAGCGGTATTTTGTGAACTCCTTTTCACGTTACAATGTAATTACTTTATTGATTTTAGGAATTAACTTCAAAATGTCTGTGTTTTGTGCAGTGCAATTACATTAGAAATTGTACTTTTACTCAAATTTAATGACAAAATCTACAGACTAAAACATTTAATTTGAAGAATATACATTTGACAATATTTATAAACATATACATTTAAATATTTATTTAAATACAATAACGTCCAATAATATCTTAAATTTAGAAAAAAAACTATTTACTGACAAAAACCTTAAAGTAAAAAATATATTTACTGTAATTGTACAATTTCTTTTTAATAAAATAAATTAAATTAAATAATAAATAATCTTTTTGTTTAAAAATCTAATTTACTGACTAACAACTAATTAAAAAAAACATTTTTAAATATAAGTTTTATAATATAAGAATATAAGTATAAGTTTTTTTTTATTTAAATTATTTTTTGAATCAAATTTTAGATTTAAAAATCTAATTCACTAACGAAATCTAAAAATAGCTTCTAATAAAATGTTAAATGAAAATTTAGCATTTAAAAATTACATCTACTCACTGTCATCAAAGCTCACAAGCTGCTGTGATGCGCAACTGAAAAGAGGAAGATAAACTGAATCTGAATGTCACCTGTGAGAGCAGCGGAGGTGTTTGAGCCAGCAGCGAGCATTTTGATTGGTCCATGTGAATCAAAGATCTCGATCTTCTGGAAGGCCGTCCTCTCCTCACAGTCACCGAGCCCCAGCTGGCCCTCACTGTTCCCACCTGAGGCCAACACTTTTCCCTGAGCTGTCAGAAAACAAATAAAGAAACAACACTGGCTTTTCAAATTCAAATGTGTTTCAAATTAATCTTGTAATCTTGTAGTCCATCACGCTCAGATACTGACCTGTGTAGATGAGGGTGTGGTTTCTTCCACAGGCCACAAGCTGAACTTTCTCAGATTTAAGAGCTGAAATTATCCAAAGGACAATTAAATGTCCACATGTATTGTTACAAAACTATGACTGTGGGAGTGTTGCACTCCAGAGAAAAAAACAATTCCTAGCCTTTTCCAGAGCTTTCAATCATACCACACAGTCTTCAGATGATGGAGGGGGATGTGTTGACATGCGAGCTCAGGAGCAATTTTAATTTAATTCATAGCAGTTTAAAGACTTTGCTTACAGAGTATGTAACAACTGAACAAAACCCATATGCAGATGAAAACCATATGACACAACTGAAAGCCCTGGATAAAAGCTTGTAAGTTGCCTTGAGTTGGAATGACTAAATTCATACTTGAATACATTTTACAAACCAAATCCACAAAATAATCTAAAACAAGCTCACACTGTACAAAACAAACCAAACAAATAATACAAATATGCATTTATTTGATTGGCCGTAAAGAATAAGATGTATTATCTTGTACGGAAATCTGATAAGCAACCAATTGCCTCCCAGTCTGTCTCTGTTCCTCTAGATTAGACCAGATTAGGGACCCTCCAGATTGGGATTATAATGGTAACAAATCTGTGGGTTTCCCCTACTGCCGGGCTCGTCCACGTCTTCTGTTATGAACATTACCCAGGGCACTATATTTACTTTGCACTTTGCAGATTAAAGATTTTTTGAGGTTTAAATCTGGAAAAGTGACTGTCCCTTAAAATAGTTTCCTGTCCAGGCTGAAGGAGGCAATTCCTCCCTCTTCACTTCTATTCGAGGAGGCTGAAGGCAGCTGTTAGTGGCAGCACTTACACACAATATTGTCTCTTTCTGGGCTAAAATAGGGAACAGAGAGCTATTTGGAGACAAACCTTTGATACAAGTGGGCTTGTTCACAGTCACTTTGGATCCCAGACCGAGCTGGCCCCAGTTGTTGCTGCCAAACATGAAGAGTTTCCCATTTTCTGTGGAAACAAAGACAGAAGTTCCTGAAAGCTTGTTGATTTCTGAGGTGCTTGAGCTGGAGGATTTGGTTTAAAGTGACACACTACATCAGTACAGGGAGAAGAGCTTCTCAATACAGTTAAATACATTTAAAATGGCTCTTACCTGTTATTAAGGCGGTATGCTCGTCGCCACAGGCTATTTTTAAGGGGACGTCATTTTTAAGCCAGAATTTACTCGGGGTGTTGTCGGCAAATTTGCTCTTTCCAAAAGTGAAAACCGCTCCTGATTCTGACAGAAAAGAAAAGGACGACAAGTGAAAAAGAAAAACTGCACCGAACAAAAGATAAAGTGAACACACTAAATAGCAGAAATAATGGTTTTCTTGCTTTAATATCAATATAAAGTTATTAACATATCGTTTTAAAGACAAAATGTTGAGGACTTCATTTTGAGCTCTTGTAACTTGCTTAATTTTTAGCGTTAAACAGATTCTGTGGTGTCACGGAGTGATTTTGTTCATTATTTAGGTATTTATTGCATTGGTTTGTTGGTAGTATGTCACTCCAGCATCTTTCTCTCTAGGACCAGACCAAAATAAATCCAGTTTTTATTGTTGTGATTTTCTGACCTGCATCTCATCATGTCAAATAAATTAAAACTTACATCATTTATCTTACTTACATTGTCTTAGTACATACAATAATCAAATCAATCTTAAAACTAATATCAGCTTTTACATATTTTAGAGATATTCAGAGAAGAACTTTTACTGGAGTAGAATTAATTTTTTTTGTTATATTTTTATGATAACTTGTTCTGAAATCGTCTCCTGACTAAATACATACTTAAATACATAAAATAAATAAATAAATAAATAATCTAAAACAAGCTTGTTCTGTACATAACCAAACTAATATTAGCTTTCATTTTTTTTATTTTCATGATAGAACTTTTACTTGAGTAAAAGCAGCAATATGTAAAAATACTCAATTACAAGTAAACATTAAGTAGAGTATATCTTAGGTAGAAGCATGTGAGTATGTCTCAGCAAAATGGAGTGTTTGATGTTATTGGATTGTTATTATACATTAATGTATTTCACTCTAACATCGTTATATAAGGTGCTATTGGGTATTTTATTCTAGTAGTAAAATCTGCAAACTAAGAAGTAACTAACTGTCAGATTACTGTAATGGAGTAATAATACAAGTTCCTTTTGAAATGTAGTTTAAGTAAAAAGTAGCATCAAACTAATGTACTAACTAATGTACTAATTGTGAAATAACCACGTTATTACAAGAACATGAGGTCTGAAAGAAAACCCATTTACTGGCAGAGCACGTTTCACAACAAACTTTCCAAACACTTCAAAATCAAGTAAAAGAGAACATAAAAATCCAAACAACAGGTACTTGCTCAGTCGTGAGGAACAAACACAGAATACATAAATGTCTTGACAGTTTAAAGCGGAGAAAGTGATGAAAAGGGCTTTATTCTCCGTTAGCCAGCGAGCTAAAGCAGAAGCTAATTAGCAGGATAATCGTGGCTAAAAAACATTTCAGATTTAAAATCATTTTACTTATGATTCCGCGGGAGTGTAAAACGATGAGGGCTACCTGGTATGTCGTCCTCAGCCTCCCCTGCCATCTCTGCGGGACTTTAATCCGCTTTGCTCGGTGTCGTGGGCGTCTTGCTGTCCCTCTTGTTTTCCACTCTGACAACCCGGAAGTAAACAAAACTTCTCCTAGGCTACGACGCGCACCACGTGACCGCTTAAAGGGACAGGACGTCAGTTTCTCTGCAGGCGTCTCATCGCAGAAGAGAAAATTTGTGTTTGGTAGATTATTTCTCTGTTGTAACAATGCTTCTTGGCAATAAATCTTAAACCATTGGAAAGCTTGTTTATGTCCCTTTTAATTGGAGCCACATTTTTAAGGAACATGTTTTTGTGGGATGAGCAGCAGAAAAATTTGCCAAATCTAATCTGAACATATCCAATTTATCTTATTCTGTTCCTGATATAATTACCTGTCCAGGCTGCAGGAGGCATCTCCTCCTCTGAGGCACTTCCTCAGGCTAAAGGCCACTTTTGAGAGCTTCCCATATTTTTAGTTTCATTAATCTTTGCACTAAATTAAATTCCATATTTTTTCAGATAATGATTATTTTTGCATGCTTTCAGTTTTTATACTTGGGTGGCTAAAGGTGCAAATTGCATGAAATCCCAGCTAGTGAAAACAAACGCTCCGTAAGATTGTGTATTCACTTAATATTGTTTATCTTTCCCAAAAATTACTTGCTATAATTCCATTTTTGAATGGAAATGTAACATGGCAGCTTATTTCTTTTAAATAGTTTTAATTATACAGTCATAGTGTTACATCTATTCCAAAAACTGCTATAAACTGCTGTATAAAACGTTTTTTTAATTAATCATCTGCAATCTGTTTTAATTTTGTTTCAATGTTTTACACTTTAAGTTTCTCCCCTGTTTTTTTGTGCACTACATTGTGCGACAAGTATTAGTTACTGTCAGTCATGACATAGTAGTGACTGTAATAAGACAATTTAACAATGTCCTAATATATTTCAGTCAGTCCATAAATAAAATGCACTACAACTCAATGTATATCGATGCAAAATGAATACCATAAGAATTAAACAACAAATAATACTTTTTCATGTTTTTAATAGTATTTTTTAATAGCAGTAAAAATGATTGGACAAACAGCGTGAGCACACAGGTTAGAGCTTCTCTTTATATCGAGGTATCAGATCATGACGCAAAAATTACAAACTAATCTCGGATGAATCCAGGAGAACGCTTTCACTGTAGCGACAGAGATTGCACATTTCAATTCCCCACTCTGACGCCTTCACCGTTGTGTCCCTGAGCAAGACACTTAACCCCTAGTTGCTCCAGAGGTTTGTGACCTACGACATATAGCAATTGTAAGTCGCTGTGGATAAAAGCGTCAGATAAATGAATAATTGTAATAAATGTAACGAGAATTATAACGTACACAGAAAGGCTTTAACCTTGTTTTGTGTATTTCTACTCAGCAGAGAATGTACAGAGGATCCCCCAGTGATCGCTGGTGAAGCAGCCACACTTCAGCTTCTCCAGCCCTATCAAGGTCATGCTGTCGGGTTCCAGCTGCGGGACCCCATCTTTGGAAGCCCGGCGCAGGTAAAGCCGGTCGAAGCGTAACTGACACTTGAACTGAATTTCTCTGTTGGTGTTGATTGTGGTGTCCCATGTGTAGCGGCAATTCTCCGGCTTTCCCAGCTGCTCCCACACATCACAGACGCAGTCAGGAAGGCCAACTCTGGCCACCTAGCAGGTATGAATAAAAAGGTGGGCAATGGATTAATATTTAAACAATGTTTTTAAGTGTTATTATCTTCTTTTGCGGCTTTCTTTAACAGCTGAGTGGAAAAAATGCCAAGATAGAGGGAGGGAGGGATGAGGAATGACATGCAACAAAGGTCTCTGGCAGGTCACCTAAACCCGCAGGCCACTACTGTGCCCTGATCTGTTTTATCTTAATACAGCTATAGTTAGTTAATGATATGGTAACGCCTGCAATAAGCTAGTTAGGTGAACATGACAAAGTTAGAGCAGATGGACTCTGGTGTTTCTGGTTTTGGCTAAAGAAAGACCATCTCCAAACTATGTTAAAGCCGAAAACACAATTTTGTGGAGAAATTAAAAGCTTGACAGGCCTGCTGTGTCAAGTTATTGGACAATCTATGTTCAGTGAGGGGGTCAACTGACTACTTCCCTGGGGTGATTATCTGCCTCCCAGTGCATTCTGATACAACCTGACAGTATTTTTTTTGTAGCTGCTATTTTCAATCAAACAGATCCTAGCACGGTTTTACCTAAATTCCCGCAGCATATCCACATCCCTACCAGGGAACGAATATATTGGACCATGTTTAAATTCATTAATTCCTGACAGCTACAAAGCCACACATTCTTCTTCAAAACCTGGTGCCTACTTTACCCATAATGCAACCTCAGTGCCAACAGTTTGGTCAGAGATTCAGATGTGTTATTCTAGTAGCAGCCTATGTAAAGGGACACAGCAGCAGGTGGCTGAATCTTTGTGAGCCGGTTTCACTGGTTGCTTTTAAATGACCCGAAGGCTGGCAATTCTTCCTTCAGATGTTGTGACTGATTACTCGTTTGATCGTCCTTGTTGCTGAATTGTGGTGAATATTTAAGAACATTTTGATATTTTATGACCTTGTAACTGATTATTCATTCCCATCTTAAATGTGCAATTTTGCTACTGCCTGCCTTGGCCAGGAAACTCTGGAAAAAGAGTTTTTCTGGCTCAATAAAGGTATAATAAAACAATTTAAAATTTAAAACTGTAACAGAATATAATGCAGAGCAGCTCTCAGGCATTCTGGGTATCTCCTGTAGATCAACTTTTAATATCATCACTGCTGAATCAACACACATGCAGGCGTGACCGATTGAGGTAACCTCTTTAAATGTAAATGTGGCACCTTTTTACCTCATCAATAATAAATTAAATCATTTTAATTCAGTTATAAATGCCTGGACTTTAATAGCTCCTGTGTTTCAGCAGGTTTTATGCTCATGTTTAAAGTTCTGCACATTCAGAATCTAACTGGCTTCTCTGACATGTCCAGAATAAAGGATATTTTGAGAGGCATCGTGTGGAAGGGATCCATACCACGGATTCTGCAACCCGTTGCACCACTACTATCCATGGTAGTGTGGGGATTTAATACTTGCATGTTTTGTTGTGCAGGATCACAGCCCCTATGTGTCCACATGAGGAAAGATCTATTGCATTAGACTAGGCGACTTGATGAGTTAATTTTTTTAAGCAGTCCATTAAAATATTCCTGCAAATACAGTGAAGAAGTTCAAGTTCTAAAATTTGTGATTTATTTTCATTCATAAAAACATCTCAGAACATCCCAATATTTATTAGCCTACTTATAAACGCCAACAGGGTTTATAAACTGCAGCTCGGGAAAAGATAACCTCGCATTCCAGCAGCAAACTCTGTGAGGACCAATCCAGCCAACACATGTGGGCGCACATTATTTTAAAACAAGACAGTAATTGACCCTTCGCTAAAGATGGAAAGTCAAAGTATTTCACTTGCCTGCTTGTGAAAGAGCGACGCAGGCTGCTTTCCAACACGGTCACCAGTGCCATGGTGCGCGCTCACTAGGTTTCAGTTGTATTAGTAGAACAATAAAGTCTTAAACTGAGAAGAGATTTGCCTGATTTTCAAAATGTCTGTGACTGTGACAAGCGCCCGACCAGCGCTTTCCTGCGTAACTGCGCGCGCACAGCCTGGATGACAGCTCATTTCGGTTAATGAAGCAAAATGCAGATTACAGACTGGTTAAGTTATGAAGGTATTACATGAAAATGTAGCGAAATTAAAAGTAGGCCTACGTTAGATGTACCCACCCCTGCTGCAGAGATCATCACTGCTGCCTTCAGCTAGAAGAAACCGGCCTCAAGCGACTTCTTTTTTTCTCCCTCAACATTTCTATAGGCTACATGTGGAGTGTGTGAGTGATTGACTGGTCACTTAGTAAACCGCCTCCTATATGCGCCAGCTCCGAAATAGCCAGAGCCAGGAAGGCAATGCGAAATAAAACTTTACATTAGGAAAGAGGTGCGGACAAAACAAAGATTTTGAAATGAAATATGTGTAATTGCCTCCTCTGCCTATCAGGTGATTAACCCCAAATCACACAGGTTAATTTCAGGGCCTCTGACAAAGTGCAGCTCTCAGGTGGAGCAAAGAGCACAGATACAGAGCTACAGCTGGATCCCTTTATGCTCCTGCTAATTTGCAGGAGAATAAATAACAATAACCTCTCTCTCTTTCTCACAGGTCAAACGAACCGGACTTCAGGGGTTTAACCTGCTCGGGCACGGTACGGATCGCAAAGTGTGAGTAGCCTACAGATGTTTTTGAGGATATTTCAGACTAAATAGTTACACAGTATGCTGTTCATTGTAGCTTGTAGATGGTAAAAATTGTCTCAACCATGTAAGTAATAAATAGGCCACTTCTTTAATATTTGATGTTAAGCTCCTTCATTAGGCCTTCTGAAGATCAACATCTGAGCCTACTAACTCTGGACTTTGCCCCCCCCCACACCAATAAAAAGCAAACAAATAGGGTTTGATGCCAAAAAGAGAAAAGAAGATGAATAAATGAAGCAAACTCATGTGTGTATTAACCCACTCCCTTTATTATTATTTTTGTTTTTTCTTTGCCAACAACAACAACAACCACAATATTAATGTAATGATGGTACAACAGCATGTTTTACAGCTTTACCTGACAAACTTGATTAATAGAAACTTCAATCTACTAATCATCACCATTTTCATCAGTATTTTCCCTCCTCTTGATAAACTTTCTTCTTCACCCTTCTTCATTACACACTTCTCTTCACATCTAATATTTCACTAAAGATTATGTTTCACCTCAAAATCCCATTAATTATTTGCATGAGTCATTGGATTAAATGAGCATGGATTCTGCAGGAATAACGTATTATATCTCTGGTGGGCCAAACGAAAAACAGTGTTATGACAATCATCTCTTGTTTCACAGCAATGATTTCATGACCAGTGAGATTTCAGGCTCCTTATTAGGACCCAGCTTCAGGAATCACCTGAAAAGACAACAAGACAAAATTAGATTTATGTTTGGTGTCTGATGTAGTTTTTTTTAAAAACAGAAAATATCAGAATCTTAATGTGAGACTGCCATTAAATTTAAAATTTCCTGATCACATTCCTACTACTGAAAGGATTAACCCTTTGATTTTAATGACCCCTTGACCTTTCCTCTCACGCCTCCAACCGGACCAACTTTAGAAACTAAACTCTTATTTTACATCCAACGTTGCTCTTTCAAATCTCTCTCTGGTTTAATTACTAAAATCAAATTATCAAATTAAATTCGGGCCAGTGAGTCCTCTTCCTCTGGGTTCTGGAGCCCTCTTAAGTGATGTGGGAGCACAGATCAAGTCTTAACAGGCCTGGATTATCCAATGAGCATTCTGGGCACAGGCCCAGGGGCCCATGCACACTTGGGGCCTAAGCCAAGAAAAGAAGAATTGTTTTTTATAGTTTACATTTCAGATATTGAGCCTTAGATTACAGTCTCAACAACTAAACATGTAAATAACTGCACATCAATAAATATTTGCTGCTAATTTTAAACAAAGCAATGAGAAACCATTTCTCAACAACTACATGACTTCACACCGTTGCACATGTGAAAGAGGTGCTAGATAACTTTGTTTGGCAGGAAGTTGTGTTAGGTTCAGCTCAAGTTTGCTTACATGTCCTGTATAGTTTGGACTGTAACTACAGACACGCAGCTCGCAGATATATTTAGAATAAGTTTAACGCTAGAATTTAAGCTCTCGTTGGAATTAGCGCTCTTCCACTGATAAACATGGCACTAAATAGCTTTGTGGCTAATCTAAATTAGCAATGGGCAGCGTGCAATGGACCTTAAAATTCAGAGTCTTGATTGTGCCCACGTGTGTGTGGGGGTCGGCAGGTGGGGGCCCCACAAAACAGGGGCCTCTGACTTCTTAATCAGGGTCTGGCCTTTATACATCCCCTAAAATTAATCAAAACTGTCTTTACCTAATTGGTCCAGGCCATAGTGATGAGGGCCGGGGTTTCATTTGCATATTCAATCCTTGCAGTTCTGCGCTTCCTGTTTCCACCGCCGCCGCATTTCTGTAAGACAGAGAGGATGGTTAGGTTTTAGGCTTCGGACTGTGTTGTCGTTATGAAGGTCAACAGTAGCGTAATGTTTTGAGTATGCTCCACCTCAGCAGACTACAACAACAAAGCTGCTCACATATTAATGCATCAGTGACAATAATCCAATAATATGCACCATGAAGGAACCATTCAGAATAGTTAGTGCTTTTGTTACTTTAAGTGACTCATAATTCTTCTGTATTTATGCAGGACTTTTGTTGTATTACTACTTCTACATAAGTAAAGGAGGATTTCCTCCAGCTCTGCTTACCGGGACACAGGATTTCCCCTGTGTGACGCACAGCTGCAGTTTGCAGTGCAGGTAGATTTCACTACTCTTCCCGGCGAACTCGAACATGTTGAAAGAGAAGGCGTTGGACGTTCCCACCCCGTTTCCGTTTATGTTCACGGTCTTGTCAGCAGGGTTTTTGCATCTGATCAGAAACATGAAAACAGACGACATCAGTTTCATCGGCAGGAAAGTCTGATTCTTACAGCCACTGACAGCCTCAGAGTTTTTTCTCACCCCTTAGTGATGAGCTCGTATCTTGGCACACTATCAGGGGATGACTCGCTGGTCGCCCAGCAGGAGTCGGTCACCACTGCGACCATGTTGTCGTCCAGCCCCTCTGTCTTCAGCGCCATCCAGATCTTCTGGTTCAGCCCGATCTTAGTGGTCGGCCCGACAAGCTGTGTGAGGCCGGCGTCTGAGTAGGCGTTCATCTTCAGAGTGTAATTCCAAGCTCCAGATACAATCTGCTGCACCACCGAGCTGGAGAGCACAGACACACACACTTCAGATCAGCTTCAACAAGCGGCAGTCAGCACAACAACAACCAGGTGAAGCTGGTACACACCCGTCCTTGATCAAGAAGGCCACATTCTTCAGATCTGGCTGGGTGTAGAAGCAGGAGAAGTCGATCTCCACTTGGTTGCCGCGTGTGATGACGGTGTCCACGGAGGCGTTTCTCGTCATGATGGTGTTCTTGTAGATGACTTGGCTGCCGTTCGTCTAGAGTGTGACAGGAACACAGATGTGCTTTCAGCTGAAGAAAACTGATAAATATAAGATGGTTTAGAGTCCATGTCTTAATCATCCAGCTTGTTTCACACTAAAGTTCACTAGCAAGGACCACACAATCAACGATGATTGAATAATTTATTGATGATCGAAACAGAAGATGGAGGTGTACATAGGCAACTTTATAAAGTGGTAAGTCAGACGGTGTGTTTTCATCTTGTTCTGTTGCCCCCAAGTGTCAAACAAATCAGTTTCCCACGCCAAATGAAGGCCTTTCGAGGAATCTAGGAATGAATGAGTCTACTGGGAAGTTATACATTAAAACTGCATGTTATTTTGTGCTTGTTGAGAGAAATAAAACTAGAGCAGAGTACCCACCGTAACCTTAACCCCGCACGCGTCGGTGCTGTCGAAGCTGAAAGTCACCATGTGGGTCTTGCTGTCCATGTGACCTGTGCAGGTTGGGTCATTGAGGTGCAAGGCGGTGTAGTCGATGCCTTTTTCCTGCAGCAGACACCCAGCCAGAGTGAGAGCGGCAGAGTCCTGAGTGCAGACAGTCGGATCACCTGAACAGGACAAAGAAGTAAAGTAATCACCACGAAGTATTCAACAGGTACAGTATTTACTTTATGCTATTCTGTTTAAAATTATTTTTAAATAGAATATTTTCTATAATTATGAATAAAATAAAACCATATTCAGTAGCGCTGGTCAGGAGGGAATCATTGAATTAAACTAGAACAATTGTATCATCCTGATTTGGTCTAATGTTAAAAGACCTCTGAACTAATTCTCCCCCTATAGAAACATTACAACCTTAAAATGATTGTTGCACTTACCCAAACTGTTTGTTGCTTTGTACTTGGAGGCAAAAGTGGCCCGACAGACGCAGCTGGTGTCACCGAACGTCTCACCGCAGAACTCATTAGTACTGCAGTACAGGTCCAGACAGGGGTTAGAAGGTGCAGCTGCAGACAGACACACAGAAATGAGGTTCACTGTCAGATGAAGGATGATGGACATTGTATACTTTTACGATGTAATCTTTACTGGACAGAAAAAAGTCCAAATGTTCATCTGGTCCTGAAACAGTGGAAGTGTTTGTAAAGGTATATTTATACAACACATCTCTAGAGCAGACATCACAGAGTTACTCTGTTTCCGTCTATAATTTTTCTCTCTTCTGTATGATTTGGATTTGTTTCAGCCCGGAACAGCAGTGGGGGAAATCAATAACAATTTAATTTGATTTAACTTATCTGTGATTGTATAAAACATAGAAGTGAAACGGAGTTCTTACAGCAGCTGGCCTTTGACCACCAGTCCCCGAGCACGAGGTTGCTTTTCAGAAAGCAGGACGTGGCGTACGCCTCCAAAAACTGGCAGTTGATGCCGTCCACAGATGGGTATTTGCACAAAGTGTCTGTGCAGGTTTTAATGAAGGGCCCCGGGGCAATGTGGCTGTGGCAAGCAGTGAAGGGTGCCTGGCTCAGGAGATTACAGCTGTTCAGCCACGCAGAGAGAAAGAATGAGAGTAAATGATCAGTTTTCTGAAGTATTATGTGTGTTTATCTTCCAGAATGATCTGTGCTCAGATGACGGTGTAATGGCACCAAAGTAATGTATAATAAACAAGACTCGGTCCCGTTTTCAGGATGACAGCAGTGTTCAATGTGTGTTTTGATGGGTCCGTTCTTACAATTTGGTCGAGGCGCTGCAGTCGATCGTAGGGTCAGATGGACCGCTGTACGTACTGTCACATCTAGGGGGCGACACACAGCACAGCACATTAAATGTGAGACCAACACAACATTTATAAACTGATAATATCAGTCAGTGCATTTATTTGGTTGTGACTAAGTTGTACTTGGCTGCACTGTAAGAAAGGGACTTCTCTGCGCTCGTGGTGGTGGTCTTGGTTGAATTGGTGCTGCTGCCACACAAGCCCTCTACTTTGTCAAAACGACCTGGTCAATGTCAGGAGAAAAAAACATATCAATAAACTAAATAAGCACAGTTTTCAAATTAAAGTATAAGTGTAAGTACACAAACATGTTGTCTCTCTCTTTTTGTCCAGATAGGATTTATTTTTCTGTACCTGTCACATATGCAGAGTCGCCATCAAAAATGATTGTGGCCTTGGCGGAAGTTAAATAGGCAGTAACTCCAAACTGGTCCTTTGAGAGCTGCACACCGTTAACCGTCTGAACTGTGGCATTGAGCGTTAGTACTTGGTCATTAACCTACATCACAGCAGAGAGACAAAGTGAAGGAAAGTCTGGTTGAAACAATAACAGTACTCATGAATGCGATTGTTTTTTCACATTAACACTTGAGTTGAACGCTACACTGTAAGGTTCACATCCAAAAATGTTGGCTATACGCACAGCTGTAGCCTTAATGTTTTGTAGAACAGTTATTATTTAGAAGTTTATTTTTAAAATTGTGACAGAACTACTTCAAAACAGGCCAGAGCGCAGGATGATTATTTATTATACAGCTATAGTTACTAGTCATGAGGAGTACAAATAATAAAAGAGATGCAGATAGAATTGATAACATGAATTATTAATAGCAAGCAAATATCTGTCATTTTAAAGCTTCCAAAGCCAGTGAGTGGAACTTTAAAATTGATTTGTCTTGCTACAAATAAGAAAATAACCTGTAAGTAATAATTCAACACATGCTGAATTCCTTCTTAAAAAACTTACATAAGCGTTTCTATTTTATGCCGCTTTACACTTCTACTCATCTATATTTCAGAAAGGAAAAGTACCTCCACACCTGTCTTAACCTTTAACACCCTTTAACATATCAACACAAAGTAACTCCTGGCATTTAATAATCATCAATGATTGATCAGACAAAGAAGAAAACGACCCCATAAATACACTGGTACTTGCTTTTAGATGGATTGTGGCAGCTTACCCGAACTCTTCCACCTTGTTCCAGATAGATCTTTGCACTTGGCTCTGTCAGTGATAGGATCAAGTAGTCTAAAAGCGCCACATCTTCACGGCGTCTCTCCCGGAAACCCGCAAACAGCTCAAAAGCAGGGGTTTCTGTAGACTTCATCAGACCGTATACACACCGATCAGGGACAGAGAGGTCTCTGTCAAAGAAATCTACGACAGTGTGGCCGGTCACAGTGCACACGAGAGTGGGCAGAGCGCATCTGATGGAGACGGAAAGGGAAAAGATGTCAATTAGAGGAAAATTACTTGAAACTTAAAGGGGTACTCCACCAATTTTAGGTCAGTTTCCTCGTACTGTGGAGTACTACTACTCATCCTGTGAAAACACTTCTGTGGCTCTGCCGGAGCTTTCTCAAGTCTACACAAAATAACTCAGAGACAATAAGTCCAAGACGATAAATATCTCCGTCTGTTTGACAGGGTCATCGAGCCCTATTGCTGCTTACATTTGGACTTCTGTCTGTCTTTGGTAAATCCCACTACTTCATAGATGTGCAATAAGTTAAAAAAGGACTGTGTCTTAACTTTAAAGAAATATCTCATAATAAAAGTATTTTATTTTAACTCTAACAAACTAAACCATAGACACAGACAAATATTAAACATCACTCAGTCACATTAAAGAAAAACTCACACAAACTTTGTGACAGTTGTTGGAGAAATGCTGTAATGCAACCGTATAGTCTGAGTGTTTGCTGTTCATATTAATATTAATAGTTTTAAAGAGAAAAAAAATCAATATACTTTTCTACTCGAAAGACATTCTTAGCTGTTTGTAGAGAATCTGCTCTTATCTGATTAGAGCTGAAACAAACAGGCACTTAATTCATGAGGTGATCAACAGAACATTTTGATAATTGGTAATCAATTCATTGGTTTCTGATTCTCACATGAGGATTTGTGGCTATTTTGTACTGTTGGCAATACAAAACTAGACATTTGACAACATTACCCTTGGTACCGGGGTTCATTAGCTGCCACTAGCATAACACACCCCAGAGCTCCAAAACTCACAGCGGTTGAGTTGCACTGTGGGTAATGTAGCCGCCGTAATGCTAAATCAGTGAAGTACTCTTAAGTTTTATAAACTGAATGATTAATTAGTTGATCAAAAAGTTATTATTATTAGAAATAGAAAAGAAAAACAGAAATGAAAAAAGTGGTTTTAAGTCCTGATGGTACACCTGTCAGTCAAACCTTTATTCAAACTTTATTCCAAATAAAAAGCAAAAACATATTTACTTGTTGCTGCCCAGGCAAACCTCCCGGGCTCCACATGAACTGACAGAAGACAGAACTGCTTTCTCATTACAGATGGTGCTGGAGCAGGTGTCTGAGTTGGGAATCTCATAGGCTGTACGAAGTATAAAAGGGGCATCTGGGAGGTGACAGAAGGTTCAGAAAATTAGTTTAATATATCACAATTGTGTTTTTAGGATGCCTGAAGAGAACCAGTCCCGTATTTTCTTACTTGAGAGTCTGCATCCGCTCAGGTCCACGAACATGTCAATGGGATCTACATTTTTAGAAAATGATATTGAAGCCATTGTTGTGGTTTTAGCCTTTGCAGACAAGCTCTTGAAAAGGGATACACAAAAATCAAGGTCAATACTGTAATTCTGAGTATTCATAAACATCTTTCTCATGTTAGAGTCTATTATTTATTCTCCCTTTACTCTGTTTTGGTTTTTACCTTCACCTGTTAGTTAATAACTGTGTCGGTCTGCAGGGCAGGTAGTGTAAAGAGATTTTATCTGAACCTGCTGCTGCTAAAAATCCCTAAAGAGCTGCAGAGTTGGTGATATTTCTCTATTGTTAATTTTAAAAACATACATCTCATATATCTCAATTAGAGATCAAATTAACATTTGAAAACCCAGAAGGTCACGTGTGCTGCGGTTCTGGACGTATTTTCCAGAATCCACTGCACAACAAAAAAATACTTTTTAACCCATTTCACAAGTTTCCAGGTCGCCTGAAGTGACAAGTGTCTCTGTTCATTTTGTAAACAAACAATATCTTAAAATCGATCAGAAAACGTTTGTTTGGTTCAGCTTGAACAAATTAAGCAAAGAGATTCTCTGTGAACCTTTTTTCCCCTGAAGGTCTTATTCAGGATTCCTGTTAAACAACCTCCTTGGCTCACTTTTAGGATAATTGAATCCTCCATCTTACATGTACTTACAATTGTGTCTGCAGCAAATGCAGAACCGATTGCAATACCCAGAGCTGCTTGTCCACCAAAGTTGAGGAAAGTAGCAAAGATCTAAAAGCATAAAGAGACATAAAACAATAAATATTAGGAAATGGTTTCAAAATAATTTTAAGCTGTGACTTGAAGCCACATGATGTCTTAGAAATGCTAATTTTGTACTAAAGTGTGGACCGTAAAACTTATTATGACTCACATATGAGCTGCCTGAGCTATCCTTTACTTCAAGTTTAACTTGGCACTTTGAAGTGGAACTGATGGTGTTCCCATCAAGTTTCAGATCGCTTCCAAGTACTTCATCGGTTGTTTGTGTTTGTACCACTCTGTCTGCAGTCCCTAGATTTGTTATCAAAACACAGTCTTGTTCGGTATCAGATGAGTTGGTTTTGAAACAAATTGAAGCAGTTGAATCTTGGAAGGACACCTGGAAAAACAGAGAGAGAACATGAATTGTAAAAATAGTCAATAATTACATCTAACCTTAATACTTCATTTCTAAAACACAAAGTAAGCTCAGACTAAACTGAGGGGAAATTTATGGGAAATATTGGGTTCAAATCTGAAAAGTCAGGAGATAATAACCATGATACAATGCAAATACATTCTGTAACACAAACTTCCACTTGTGAATTATTGACATTAAAATACAGGATAAGTTTTATGTGCTAAAGACCGTCATGCCAGTAAACTTCAGAAAGGTTGATTGTTAGCTTGCCGACTAACACCGGCCAGTTGCTAAGTGCAAAATACTATAGATGTGTTGTTATGGCTTTCCGCATTACTTCACCAGCTAATGTGATCTATTCTGCTGTCCTGTGTACCACCGGTAATATGTTAAAGTCATTGTAGCCCGCAAGAAAGCGGTGCAAAGCAAACGTGGAGAGATCTGTTTACATCAAGCTCCAGGTGTGCAGGTCGACCCCACTTCTATGCCTTTCTAAAATAGGAGTCGTGATACCCTGATTGGCCAAAAAGGAGTCAGCTGTTCACAATCACTGCAGAGAAGTCAGTCCTCACACCCTCTGCAACAGCTGACTGCTACAGTGGTGTTGTTATTTTTACTTTAAATTGCAGTCTCATATTATCCGCACAGACTTGAGAATGATGTCAAAATTAAATACAAGAAACGCCAAGAAATGTGAAAAGATTAGGAAATAAAGCCTTTCATTTTACTCACCTTATATTTTGTGGCTTCGCGTCCGTAAAAAGTGATGGGACATGAGCTGATGTCCCCCTCGTCAGAAGCAGTAATGACAGTTTGAGCAGACAGAAGGTCGACCTGGCTGGCAGCGACTACAGTGAAGTGAATATTAAAGGAAAGAGAAATGAGACACATCATACATCAATCTATCAAGACCAACTTTCCTTTCTATTCCCAGTTCACACCTCTAACTCTCAGTGAATTTTATCAATGCTGTTTACTTCAGAACATATTCTCAGTCACACTGTAACATCTAAAAAGAGGATTTTAAATACATTTCGAAAAGAAAGTTAAACTGAATGTTGAAAATATAGGCTGACCTTAAATAAGGGATATTCTAAAGCCCTTAAAATGGCTGCTCACCTGCCAGCAGGAGGAGAAGAGCACCTGGATTCCCCATGATGGAGCCTCAGCAGTAAACTGTCTGAGAGCTGGGAGAGAGTTCACTTAGTAAAGTCAGTACCCTTAAATTCCTCACCATACAAACACGAGGGAGAGCGTTCCTGATTTGATTGTTAAGATGTAATGCATTTCTTGTTTTCTAATAACCAACTGAAACAAAATTAGTAGGAAGAACTGGAAACCACTTAAATAATGAGTCATAATAGTGATAAAAACTCAAGCCTCTACAGGTTTGTTTCAGATGTTTTTAAAAATGTGGAACATTTGCTTGACATGATGCTTTGTCATAAGCCTGGTACGTGAAACTATGAAGAATAAGGAATTAAAAGGTCAGAAATAAGCTGTGGAGGGTTTTGAAAGAAAGCAAAAGAAACTAAACAAAAATTCTAAAATGAATAAAAATTGAATGTAATTTTTGACTGGTTTGAAGTGAAGAGTATTTCCTTAATTCACGTTTCCTCTTTCCTTTTTCTTGTCTATATCCTGAGTTACCACGATGCATCTTCATAGAACCAGAATGATTTTTAGGGTTGAGGTCGTCTTGTACGTAAGCGTGAAGGCAGTCAGAGAGAAGAAGAGCAGACAGCTTGTCTTACCTTCTGAAGGTTGGAGCAGGAGAGAGATGAAGCTCTGCAGATGGAGGTCGGCGCTGAAGCTCTCTGGATGTTTCAGCTCTCTGGATGTTTCAGCTCTCTGGCAGCTCTGCCTGCTGTGTGTCACTCTCTCTCGCTTTTTATGCAAGATTTTTTCGTCCACGCCCGTGAAATTTTACACATTCTCAAAAAGTTTTGACTCCCCAAACTGGTCTTCTGTGGCCTTGAGTGGATTAAGTAACTCCTACTTTTCTCAGTAATTATATATTATAATGCAAAAGAATGCAGGTGGTGACGACAATAGTAAGTAAGAACAAAAGATCAAAAATATTATTTCCAATGTAAAATATTTTTCCTGTGTGTCCTGGGCCATACAATCAAGCTTAAAATGCTTATGGTGAACGTGCTTCAGCACAAATACAATTTCTCAAATACTGATACAAAGGATTATAAACTGTCATACAGGATGGAAAAACAAACATCACTTACACTAATATACTATATTCAACAAAGTTCTTTCTGGTGTTTGGTTTAAATGCTCAGAACAGAATACAGCTTGTGTTATTGTAAGTGAATGTTTTATATTTCCATATTATTCAAACCCCAATCTGTTGTCGCTACATTGCATTGTGGTCAAATTCATGCTCCTGTGGCCTTGATGGCCTTAAAAATGCACCAAGAGGACATTCTGTCATAGTGAACTTTGACCTTTTTCATCCTGAGGGGTATCAGGTGCACTTAACACTATAACCACAACAGGTTTTCTCTCACTCTGTCAAACAACTTCTTCAAATCAGACAGCTCCTTATATACAAAGTAGAAGGTTGTTTTAAAACATTCTTATCGGTGCTGGGCAACCATTACAATTTGTAATCACGATTAATTTCATGATTTTCATAGTTATGTGCAAATTTGAATAATTAATTCTAAAGTAATGCAAATTTAATTTCAGTGTCCTGCTATATACACAAAAGTGCAATAACACGTGGTTTGTAAACACTTTAAACAAATAAGGTGCGTTTTACCAGCAGTATTCCCTTCATACAGCAGCAAAAAATATTTATTGTGAATCTCCACTTAAACATTAATGTAATCAAATCAAATATTAAACCAAAGCTGTTTGCCACTGCCAGGGCATCACCTTTTATGTAGCTTGTTAAAACAAGTTACCATCAGAGTCCAGAGCCACGATCATAACTTCATGACAGGCACCTTCTGAGCAACAGGTCAACATATATAATAACATAGCCTATATATCTGTTTTCTTGGGTTTTTTTCTTTTATCAGGGAGCAGCAGAAATAGTCCATGTTCAGTAGCAAGTGTCGTGTGTCGTTACCGTGAAACTGTCGCCTGCTCCGAATTTGATTTGCCTTGAACTTTTTGTACGTGACGCGCAGCACAAATCATTGGAAGAGAGACTGATCCTCCAGAATCTGTTACTGTTTAACTAAATAGTTCTCAGGACATCAACAGGAGGGAATTCACATGGCAGAGCAGAACTAGATGAAGGCCTATCAGGTTAAGTTAAGCAGCCTATAATAGCCATCGCCATGGTTATTACCCATAGAGCACCTGCTTTTTACTCGCGGAGCACATGTTTCCTGTTCACCTTGTTCCCACACGCTGCATCCAACATAGTCTGTCGAACCCCCACTGCTTGTGTGGGTGGCTGATCATCGTCCCACTGGTTTGACTGTGTGTGTAGGATATTCAGAGCCAGCGAGCTTTTAAAATAAAACAACTGCGTTAACTTGAGGTAAAATAATTGTCGGTCCATCCATCCATCCATCGTCCACCGCTTATCCACAGGGTTACGGGATAATTGTCGGTGTTAATTAATTAATGCGTTAACGCATTAAGAACGAGTTAACTTGCCCCGCCCTAATTGTTATATTTCTGACCTTTTTTGTAATGCAAACTTTTTATTTCATTAGGAAGCTGAGCAGCAAAGCTGCTGGAGCCCTTGTTTTTGTTCTCATTATTAGGGGTCTAAGCACCGGTGTGCTGGGGCCATGCATGTAAAGCAGCGTGTATTCCAGTACCAGCGGTGCTGGGAACCCTATACTGTAATCGGTCATATTTTTTATTTCCCCTTTTTATTAATTTTTTTCACTTTTTATTCTTCCTTAAGTAAATTAAATTTCAAATATGCGAAAGCTACTTTTTCAAACTCATCCTGGGCGGAGAGTCCGAGCCTAAGTGCCTATCCAGCTCTGCTTGCAACTTCAATTATCCTTGTTATTTTCTAATCCTTTTGGATTTCCAAACTGGTTTCTCATCATGAAGTCAAAACTGCAGCTACTGGTGAAAATATTTGAAAGTGAAAAGATGAGAAACAAATCAAATGTTATCGGATGAGTAATCTAATCGACATGTGAGCATTGTTGGGATCACAGGGACCTCACAAAGGTGAATTAGTTCATTTGTGATTTTAGGTATCATGTGAGTCATTAAACTCACTTTCCCAGGAACCCCCAGAAAAGTCACACCAATAACATGAACCCTAGAGACCCAGCTGCAGCTTTGATGACCTCAGACACTTCATTTATTTTACATCAACACAAGGTCTGTTCTGCTCCTCTCCTCATCTGGACGGACCCACTGGTCAGCTTTGGAGGAACTCACTGCGCAGGGACCAGGGTCTAAATTAAGTTTCAGGTTCTTTATTTTAAGTACTTTCCAAAAGTCACTTTGAGGGCGTGGGGCTTGCCTTGCGGTGATTTCTGAATTGTTGAGTAGAGGCTGTGGATGTGTCACAGTGAGGAATTGAACCTGGGGTTTCTCACACCAAAGGCATGTATCTTATCCACTGCCCCAACACCACCCCCCATGTGTAATGCATCTATAATATATAAAAGCGTCACTTTTTGAATTAAATTACAGGGAAAAAATTAACTGTTCTTAACCGTAACCTAATTTTCTGAGATGCACCTGTACACAGAGAGCCTAATATTTATGATTATTATTATCCATGATGGGAAATGGGGCTGTAAAGACTTCACATCTTTCACGTCTTTCTTGTCTGTCTTAAATAACACCACTCACATTCATAACTGACCCTAAAAATGCACCAAGACGACATTCTGTCATAATGACCTTTTGAAGCTTTTTATCCTGAGGGATTTCAGGTGCATTTTTTATTACTTTAAAGTTTTTCTGCCTCAGAGGAGTAGAGAAAATGATCAGTTACCATCACCACTAACAGCAATTGTAAATAATAATAATAATAATAATAATAATAATATGTGGCTGGACCTGTGGTTTTCTCTCAAAGCAGGTACGAAACAGAGGGCTGTCTTTAAAACATTCTTTTGTTTAGAAAACATTTTAATAGATTTTTAAAAAAATGTTTTACCTCAAAAGGAGTTCAAGAAAGAGTCAAAATCTGAATACCCCTTCTAAACAGTGGTGTACACAGAACTCACATCTGAAAAATAAATCTAGTACAAATCCAGAGTGTTTTTCAGAATACCAAATTAAACTTGCAAAAATATGTAGTGTATGTAGATACGATGTGATGTGATTTGATAAGGTAAGATCAACCTTTTAAGGAAACAATTTTTGTGACCATTTTGTAAATGAAAACCACATTTTCCTACATATACATGCTGTACGTTTCCTTAATAGGACAGGCATAAGCCAGTAGGGCCTACCTACACATCTAAGCTCCCTTATCAATGAAAAGCACTTGTCTGGCCAGTTTTGTAAATTGTGAATGTACTACTGGTTTTGAACTCATTCCAGATGTAGTTCTCATGATGTTTGCCTGCCCAAACTGGAAATCACTGTGCCTTGGCTTAGTAACCACGTGTTGTAACTTTAAAGGACTGGAAGACATATGTTGAGGAATACTAAATGGTGTAGTGCACCTTAGCATTTGTTCCAATTCTGTACATGTTGAACCAGTTTGTCAGCACAGAAAATCAAAGGTATATATCAGCAATAAAATAAGGAATTGTTAGCAATAAAATGCTGTTGCACATTGTCGCTTACAATGAGGGAATAACATTTGCCTACTTGAGCAGTGAGCCTAGGTCTAGATGAACAGTTGTAATTAATCAGCGCCGGCCCTGACAATGCTGGAGCCCTAGGTGAGATTTTAAATGGGCACGCCCAGCTCTAAAAATTGCTTCTTCATATACAGGAATTGTTCACTCCACTCAAATGAAGTGGAGGGTCTGGTGGTCCTCCCCCAGAGAATGTTAAGCATTGAAGACGTCATTTCCTGCATTCTGGTGAAAATCTCTGCATTAATTTCTACCTTTTCTGCCTCAATTTATGGTAAAGGAAAAGGGAAACACAAAATTCAGGCAGCAGGTGGCAATTCACAATATAATAAATTAATAGTATATAATGTAGTTGGGGGGAGCAGCCTACTCAATATACACACACAGAAGCACAGAC